AAAAATAGACTAAAATAACCATCAAGAGACAATTATTACCACAAAAAAGAAAACAACAGTAAAGTACGCAAACAAATGTATTGTATTTGAAATACCGCTGCACTTGCATCACTGTCATAACAGGCAACAGGAAAAACTGTTTATACCCGGTGAACTGAGAATTTTAGGTAGGAAAGAGTTTGTATTACATATTAAATTACATCAAACCGTTAGCTGGTTCTTCATGGGTTAGTTTAATGTTGATGAAAAAAAATGGGTGATAAAAAGGTAAATTGGTAAAATGAAAATTAAGTTGATATTGACATGATGCATGCGTGAATTAAAACAAATAGGTGCGCACACGCGAAACTATTACATATAAACACAAACACACAGACAGACACACAGACAGACAGAAAACTAGAAGACAATGATGAACAACGATTGATAAAATTTTATAATAAAATAAATATAAAACGCGTACAGGCGTGCATGAATGATAAACAAACAACCGATTTAAATCAAACATGTGCTGTAAAAATAGATGAGGGTAAATAAAATTTATTTCAGCAAAAAAAATATACGAAAAAAAGCGAAAATGATAATTTAAAAATTCAGAATAGAGTAAAATATAGTGAAGAACCAGTTTTTTTTCTCTTGTGTAGATGAAACTTAAAATTCAAGTTAGCTATACGTTGGAATGTTTATGTAAGAATTGGTTATGAACTGACTGATACCTCAGCATTAGCATTACAAATAAACGTTGCATACGTATAGATAGAAGATACACACATACATAGTTAGACAAATATAGTAGAAATGATTGAAAATCGTGACGAAAATAATGACGTAATAATATAGCTATTATTAACAACAACAACAAAATAGATAATAATAATAATAATAACATACAAAAAATCAAGTGATAGAGACGCACATAGTTAGTTCATCATCATTGGCCAACCAAGTACCACCATCTACATAGGGCACATTGTTTCTATCTCCCACCATCAACCAATAGTATGTGGCAAACAATTATTATACAGCAATTAAAGATGAAGTAAACAAAAATTAAACTTTACAATAGAAATTCGTAAATTTATACATAATTCAATATCTACAATTATTATTATTATTATCAATCAGTTAAGAAACCTTGTAATTATACAAAACGTATCATAATAGTATTCCTAGGAACATGACCTGAAATTATAGGATACATACAGGCGTTTTACACATACACCCACACACACACACGCAGACATACACACACGCAAACATACAAACACGCAAGCATACAAACGTATACAAACAAACACTTACTAGAAAATAGGAATGATTGAACTAAGCACAAATCACCATTGACAATCAATATGTTTCCATTATAATTGTATTAAAATGTGAGTAACTGTATCTATTACTTAATAACCTTTATGTAATATTTTATAAACACATGCGTCGTGTTTGCGTGTCTGTGTGTGTGTGTGAGTGTGTGCGCTTGCATGTTTGTGCCTGTGTGTGGATCTTCTTTCCTTATATTGCAGTAATACATATAATATTGTAACGAAATATTTCAAAAAAAACATCTGAGAGATCGAATAATTTTGAACTTTAAATAAAATCGCTGATTCATTATTGGTCGTAAATATATGTTTGTATTTATTTATGTGCGCGCGCGCGCGCGTGTGTGTGAATGTGTGCGTGCGTGTGTAAAAATTAATATTGGATGGCTAAATAAATATTATTAAATATTGTAACTGACACCATGTAATTAGCACATAATAATAATTAACGACAGATTGATTATAAAATTAATCTATACTAAAAATGTTTCTTCAAGCATTCATCTTTCATCAGCCTGCAATCTTCAATAAAATCATATTTTAAAATGGCCATACGCCATATACATATATACATAAATGTGTGTGTGTGTGTGTGAAATAATTCGATAAAAAAAGATAAAACAAAATAATTTAACAGTAGAAAAAAAAACATAAAGAAGAAAGAAAGTGGTATTGCAAAACATCGTGAGAACGAAAAAGCTAATCGAAATTTCGAGAACACCCAACAGCATCATCATCATCATCATCATCATCATCATCATCATCATCATCCTACCCGTCGGCATCATCTAACTCATCATCATCTTCATCTCAACATAACATGCATTCCTCTAGAAAAGTACCCTAATTATTGTGTGATCAGTGATACATCTATCTATCTAATCTATCTATTCGAAAGAACCATAGGCGTGATAAGTTGCTATGCTATAGGCAGCCTATAGGCGGCCTATAGACAGCCTATCTCCGCTACAACAACAACAAACGCGTGTAGTAGCTCTATAAAGTTGTACAGGTTAAATATTAAACAACTAAAACGACATTATCTTATTAAAATATAGTAAAATATATACAGGCAGAAAAATTTTTAATATAATATGTAACAATTAAACAGAATGAATGTTGACAATTGAAAGGTTCATCATTGAAAATAGTACAATCACATTAATTGACATTTTAACTTCTCTTAGAAACGAGTCACAATTACTTCAGATGTAATTTAAATTTCACCATCATCTTCTTCTTCTTCATCGTCGTCATCAGAATAATTATCATAAAAATGTTTATTATTAACAGCTTTATAACAATAACAAAAGGTGAAAATGAATTGTATAAATATATAAACACTTGTATATGTACATTTACTACATTGCAATAATGCAATAAACATCATTGAGACCAATGACGATAACGAAGACGACGACGATGATGATGTCGCCCTAGCTCTTTTTGATCATCAGCAGGATGACGTCATCATCATATTCATCAGCAGGGTGACGTCATCAGCATATACATCAGCACCATTATTGCAATCTTCATCAGCCTGCTTATGGTGTCAACAGCGTATTAACAAATCAATAATTTCAACAATCCAATCAGCTACGTTATAATAATAATCACAATCTTATTGAAAACAATCATCATCACAAAGATGATGATGATGATGATGATTGTAATAAACAGTATCATCATCAGAACGATCCTCATCTGATGATGTAACGAAAAAAAACCCATTATATGAGCTTGGATAGACAGAGTTAGGGTTGAGAGTTGGAAACTATAGATTAAGCTCGTTTGCAATCTTCGAAGCAACGTTCTTGAAACCAATTGACGTGCCAGATATTCGTTTGAATCGGACACCATTGAGCGATAATCGAGGTAGCTTGCAGACCTCCATCTCCCACTGAACCAGCGAATCAGTAGCCGCATCTCCGTGCATGCACACCAGCAAGTACTTCTCTGACTGGTCGAAATCGCAATTGTTGGCCTTCAAGACTCTTTTGATTTCTTCAATTATGCTGTCGGGATGGAGTGACGATGTGGTCTTCATGTTCCATGTGAATCGCAACGATCGTGGCTTCGTGTTGCCACCGTTACCGGCTGATGGGTTGTTATTGCTAGTGTTGCTACTGTAATGGAATGGATGAGCGAATGTCGATGAGGTCGTTGATGCAGATGTTGGCATGGCCGTCGTTGGATTGTTGCTGGTGTTGTTTGGATTGTTGCTGGTGTTGTTTGGATTGGTTGGGTTGTTTGTGTTCAGCTGTTGATGCATTGTGCCTGCTGTCGAAGCAGCTGCTGACGTCACCGACGAAGAGTCACCTGATCCGTCATGCTGCCAATCTGACATGGATCTGGAAAATCAAGTCAGTTATATAAATAAAAACTATGCTGGACAGATGATCAGTTTGGGTTAAGAATGTTATGCCATTATAAATATATTGGTTATTATGTGGAATACAACACACAAACTTGCCTCTTGCTAAATTTTGAGGTCAACTTATCAAGGAACCTGCTCTTGTTAGCATCAGCCACAGCAACACTTGTGTTGTGTGACAGCTGATGATGATTGGTGGAGCTCGGATGGGCAGTGGTCGGCCTACGATCCACCACCTGACCCCCATGAATTGTTCGTCTGCCAGTCACTGCACGAGGAAATTTACTGACCGTCCGCGGTGAGCTGAGAACTGATGAAGTATTGTTGGTGGTGGTGGCTGTAGTCGATGTTGTGGCCACTGATGCTGAGGCGGCTGATGACGATGCTGCATTACTACTCGTAGTGGAACTCACGCTGGGAGGTCGCGTTCGTGGTGATGTAATCGTTGTGGTGTTCCTGTCAATGCAAATTATGATTCCAGATTGAACATTCAAGAAACAGCGCTAGAAATGAATGATTGCTAATGACGCTAGCTCACTGATACAGTTTCGTTGCAAGTGACCGAATTACAGTTATTGCTGTTAAATAATATCTCATTAAATGATGAAAACAACTACAAACTGATTTCTTGAATGTCCACCGGCTGCAGTGGAATCAACAGATGATGACTGAACAGATACCACTGGAGGCTTCCTATCAACTCGACTAGATGTTGATGCTGTTGTGGCTGTTGCTGTTGAATTTGTTGTCGTCAGTGTACCAGCAGTCGTTGTCGAGTTGTTCATCTCTGCAATCTTCACATCATATTTAGTTGTTGTTGTTGCAGCAGCAGTTGTTGTGGATGTTGCTGATGACGGCTGCACAGTTGATGAGGCAGGATTTGAAAGTCTGGCCTGCAGTCGAGATCTCGGGGTTGAAGTTGTAGACGCGGCCGTTGATGATGAGTTTGTTGATGATGTCATATTAGAGGGAGGCAGAAGTTTAGAGCTGTCAAATAAGATTCAAGATAAATTCCGGCTAGGAAAAACTTAAACAATAAGCCATTATACATGCAACTAAACAACACATTTTAGTTAAGTGTAAAAAATAGGGGAAGAAATTACAATGAAAAAAAAATCACTTTTTCAACTCAGGACTGGGATTAGTAACAGGAGTATTATTGTGATGTCGGCTGGATCGATCCAGGGAGGTCCCTCTAGCCACTTCCATGCCATTCACTGTGGTCCTTCGAGATATGCTCGCTCGACCCGATGTTGATGGAGGTGGGTGCGAGGTCTTCTTTGGAATTGTTGTCATGCGCCCTGGTGTGAACTGTTTGGGGTAATTGGAGGTAGTCGCCTAAATCATTACTCTATATATATATATATATATATATATATATATATATATATATATATATATATATATAAACATACATTCAAACTTGATTTAATAACTGAATAATAACTGAAGTGAAGCAATTAAGTAATAATATAAGAGACACAATTTGACAAGAGTTGTCAATGTACCCTTGACATTTCGGCAACGGGCGTCGTTGTACCCCCAGTCGAATGGTTGAACCTCGCCGGTCTCTGTGAATTCGTTGAGGCCGAGATTTCTGTGGCATTCGAGGAAAGAGGCCGCTTGGCTGTTGACGCTGTTGATGATGATGAACTTGTGCCAGCTGTTTCAAAAAATTTTTTTTTCTTTTAATAATACCAATTGTCTATAATTTTTCTAGAGATAACAACAAAGGCAGTATTATCACTAACTAGTCATCATCATCATCGTTGCTATTATTATCATCATTATTACCAACACCGACTAAATCACATACATATGCATCAGCTAAAAATTATGAACTTCTAAAAATAACATCTGCAATGTTTATTTGCACTATACAAATAGATAGAATACGTTATTTATTACCATATAACATCCATCAATTGAAGTTATTTGTAGTTTTATTAATATTAGTATTATTATTATAAATTCTCTCTTAATTAATTTTTAAAAGTATCAACAACAAAAACTCACACACACACACACACACACACACACACACACACACACACACACACACACACACACACACACACACACACACACACACATACACACACACACACACACATCTCATTTACATATTCATGAAGTCACACATCCTACACATTTGCACGTGATATGTGAGTCGTTCTTTGCATTCAAACCAAGTACCAGCAACAGCAGGACCAGGCATCTTAAACCACCATTACACCATCAAAAACAAATTGAAAAAAAAACATCCGGGAAACCTAACCTGTTTGTCTCTGGCCAACAAACTTAGGAACCTTGGAAGTGGAGACAACAGAATGCGCCATGACGTCATTATTGTTGTTTCCATTAATGATGTTGCTGTTGTTGGGGATGGTGGTGGCCGTTGAGGTCGAGGACACGGAAATGGGCAGTTGCTTCAGAGAGAGACTGCTACCATTGGTCAGTTCCTCCATCGACTGTGTGATCGTCATCATTTTTATTCTCATCACTATTATCATATCTCTACCACTATTATCATATCTCTACCATTGTCATATATTTTCATCATCATCATCATCAACTTAATTATTACCAAATAATTTTCCCATCATAATTTTAAACTGGGTGAAACAAATGAATGTATGAAGCGTGAAATGTTTGCACAACAAACTTTCAATAGCTACTAGATAAATCTGCAAGACACAACCACACAAGAAAACAAACTAACATGGCAAATACCAACAGATCAACACACTTGCATGATGCACTCACTAACTGCCTACCAATAAAATAAAAATCAATGAAGAAACCCGAAACCAATCACCTAACAACAAAGAGACATAAACTTGTGAAAAATGGCATTTGTAAATATCTACACACAAACATACACATAAATATACATAAACAGGCAAACATAAACATACAAACAAAAGTAAAAACAAAAATATGGCGCACATATGAATAAAAAACATATAAACCAAAACTAACATCAACATTTTTCTTAGCCAGCAACAGATAAGTGGCCATAATCTCATTGAATTTATTTTGACCTAATGATTCTTCAATATCCTTCCTGCTGTAGCCCATCTGTACTAACTTTTCTGACGTGATAAACAGCGATTAAATATTCTTACAATTAACATAATCTGGATGATGATGCGATGATAATGGCGATGATGGGGCAATGAAATGATGACGATGATGATGACGTAGCGGTAAAACGGTGATGGATAGAGACATATCACAAGAAACAACATGTACAGGCAAAAAATATCAGTCTCCCCGCTCCGGTGAAAATGCTGGTAGTTGAAACTTAAAGGATGCATATTAACAATATCATTACATGATTTTGAAAATATGCTATGATAAAAAAACATAAGACATGACGACGATAGTGATGACACATGATTATAGTATAGAATGAATGAATGAATAAAAGAATGAACGAATGAACGAATAAATGAGTGAATGATGCCGATGCGATGCGCAATTACTAGAGATAAAAACAACAAAAAGAGATTATAATGCTGTCATAAAAACGTGCACTCAACATATCACCAAACCAACAAACATACAAACAAAGAAACAGATAGACAAACGGGCAAACAAACACGCAATCAAACAAACACGCAATCAAACAAACAGACAAACGGGCAAATAAAAAAAACACACAAACAAACATGGCACATAGCATAGCAAAACAAAACATAACTAATCCCACATACCAATCCTAATGGGATCATTGAGATCCTTTTTAACTTCAATGTAAGGTTTCAACTCATCATCAAATCCCATCCCCATCCATTTATCCTTCATTATTGCCTGGTAAAATTAATTGGAGATTTTCTTAAAACCCGTTTTCATTTAATTATCTTCCCCTTTTGAAATTTTTTTTCCTTTAATTTCCTCTCCTTTATGTTTTTAATAGAAGTTGCGCCTTTGACATTTTTAGGCGTTTGGATTAAATTTTTAAATAAAATTTTTAAAAATTTAATCAAATGCATCTTTTTATGATACAATTTTTCCAGCAGCAGTTTACATTATTCAAGTTTAACGAAAGGTCAATATTCGAAATTAGGACAATTTGATTAATCATGCTTGATATAAATAGAAAAGACAATTGAATAAAAGTTTAAATCACTGGCATCATTATTACCAACATCATCATCACCACCATCATAACCATCATAGCAGCAGCGCCAACACAACCAGCACCATTACTACCATCATCTTCATGATCATAATCATGATCATGATCATCGTCATCATCATCGTCATCATCATTATCATCATCATCATTACCTCTAGACTTGCCCTTTTCAGAGGATTGAGTATAAGAAATTTTTTCAGCAGGCTTTCACAGTCAGTTGACATGTAGAAAGGAATCCTATACTTCCCCCTCAACACTCGTTCTCGAAGTTCCTAAAAGTTATCATCATCCAAATCATCATCATTGTCATCGTCGTCGTCGTCATCATCACATCAGTCATCATCAGCAAAAATATTTTTATTGTAATAAACACCAGCTTCAAAATCAAATGAGGAATTTTCTACTTTTAATATAGAAAAAACCCATGAACATATAATCCAACACAACACAATCCTATTGATTACAATAATCCTAATGCCATTCAATCCAAACCATTCTCAACCAATCCCAATCGATTCTTAATCCTAACTTTAAGGTTCTGTCCATCAAATGGTAGTGATCCACTGACTAGCGTATATAGGATAACACCGAGACTCCATACATCAACTTCAGGTCCATCATACTTCTTTCCTATATATTCAAAAATATATATATATCAAGATATATGTGTTTGTATACACTCATTAACTTAAACATATCATCACTTGATAAAAATCTTCAACACTGTCATGAATGCTATAATAATTACACACTTAACATGTTTATAATCACTAAAAAGCCTACTTAACCTCAATTTGACCTTGAATGGTTTTTATCTAACCTTGAAAAAGTTCAGGGGCAGCATAAGGTGGACTACCACAAAATGTGTCCAGCTTGTTACCAGTGGTGAACTCATTGCTGAAGCCAAAGTCAGCAATTTTTATGTTGAGGTCAGCGTCGAGGAGTAAGTTTTCAGCCTGTTGTTTTATTTACAGTAGAATTATTCCTGCTTGGTAATTTTATTTAACTCTAGCTTTAACACCATAATCATAGAAGAGAAAGTACAAATGAATAACTGTGATCAATAAACTTATTTCTCATTAGCAGCTGAGCATAAATAGATAGACCTCAACAGTTTTTATTTCCATGGAATATCTATAATAGAAGCCAAGTTATACAATGCATTTCGAAGTGGACAGTACCTAAAAACACTACACTGAAGTGGCATACATAAAGACACTATACAATATTTTTGCACCAATGTAATATTGTAATATATACATAATTATTGATCTGGAATGTTATTTTTAAAATGTCATCAATCTTATTACTAATCAGTTGCAAACCACAAACTTAATAAAGCACTCAGTCAGATGTCAAAGGAAAGTATATTACTATGAAATTAAAGTACCAACTGATAAATAACCCCAACATGATTATAAATTAAAGATGAAACAATTATCTGAATGTATGTGATTCTATCAGCAAGCACTGGTAGGCAATTATTGAACTTCCAAAAATTTTCAAAATTGAAATTAGCATAAGCTTAACTAGAATATTTCAAGTCAATTTATAAATCTCACAGATAAATAATGAGATTCTATTTAAATGGCTGCTACAGAAACTAATCATGATATGAAGATGTTGTTAATAATGAAGTAATTAATTAATTAATTGATTGATAAAATTATCCGAAGCCATTACATGAAATTATGAATATAATTGGCAGGTCACAATATGGCTGATCAGTGCCATAGTACACATAGAAAGGAAGAATAAATCAATATTGAAAAAAACCATATTAAGAGTGGATAAATTAACCTATGAATTTGTAAACCTTCATAAATAATGGTAACACTTATTAAGTCCTCAGTAATTTATCTCCACCGCTCTAAAATATCTACTTCATATATAAGAAATCATTCAACAGAAAATCTTAACTTTTAAAATAATTCTTTTTACAATCATAATTTGAAACTTTAAAACAAGCTAACAAACATTGCCTTAGCAATTTTAAATTACATGCGTTATGCATTGACCTCATTTTCACCCAAATATTACACACACACACACAGACGAACACGCACACATACATACACGCATAATACACGCACGCAGACACACAAACAACCCATCCATGCTCCAAAACAATACTTCAAGCAGCGCCAACCTTTAAATCTCTGTGGACAATATTCTTCTGATGACAATATTCCACAGCTGAAACTATCTGGACGTTTGTGAAATGAATAATAATGATAATGTTATAAAATGTTGATTAGCAGTAGCAGTGGAAATAAAAAATTATAATGAACAATTTTAATAAGTAACAACAGTGTTCCATGAAAATACACGCATACACACAAATTTAGCATTGTACATAATACATAAACATAAATATACAATCCCTTTGGTAGACTAAACATTCTTTATATATTCAGAGAGAGAAAAATAATGATGACAAACTTATCTGGTCTCCATCAATGATAAACGACGAAAAAAAACATCAACAGATTTAAAGATACATAGAAATATGCAAACCAATTTATTCATTCATACACACATACATGCATGGATAACAAACAAACATACAAACAAACATACAAACAAACATACAAACAAACATACAAACAAACAAACAAACATATATAGACACCCATACATACACACCCATACATACACACCCATAATCACAAGTGTAAATGCATACATTCATTCAAAACAGAAATACTAAAATATATACCAACATGTGAATGGGCCTAGGAAAACAAACAAATAATATAAACACAAATCACAAACGTGTTAAAATTATTAAAATGAACCCTAAATACAATACATCCCACCAACAAACAACATGGCATTTCAGCAAGTCCATTATACCATCCTCCTGATTAACATTATTACAATTTGTCAGATGCCCAATGTAGTCAAGTAGTATTAGTAATAGTAAGAGAAAAAGTTAATAATGCTAACAGAAACAAACAATAATACTAATAAATTAGGTCTCTGACATTATGCTTATTAAACTTATAACATAAAAATATAAAAACAAACAAAACGAAGCCACACAAATCCAAAAACAACAACAACAACAACAACAACAACAGAGAATAAGAACATTAAAGGATAAAATAATGCAGAAAAACAACATGAAACACAAAGCTGAATAAATAAGTAATGACAAAACGAAATGAGAACAGAACAAATAACTTCAAACAAACAAGTGTTCAAAAATAAAAAGAAAGGATAAAATGTTGCTAGTACAATTATTTATTGAAAGCTTCAGGCTAAAAAGCTTAACAAACACATCAAGAATAAAAAATCCGAACGTAGTGTTTGATCTTACATATCTGTGCATAGAGAAACATAGGGAGAACAACATAAAATAAAACATACAATCAAAAACAAACAAATACAATAATTTTTAAATAACATCTATTTTAAATACAATCGCAGCACATAAAAAACGTATAAACACCAAACATTCAAAGAGAAACCAAATATAACATAACAAAATGCTGACAAGCACTCATAGAATGGCATAGATTTTACAGGTAATGAAGAAAACTGAAGATACACATTTCTATTATTATTTTTTGCTTTCCATAAAATCTTTTTTCGGCTTTTTCTAGCAGTCAACCATTTGTGGACACAGTATGAAACAGGTACATACATACACACACATATACATACATAAAGATAGGACCATGCATATTCAATCACAATATATGCTCCATACAATTCATCATTAAAATCTAATTCCTATCTAATATACACTAATGCACTCTATTATTATTATTATGAATACTGTCTTTATTATCATCATTGTTCTTGTTGTTATCATTTTAGGTGTCACAAGTTATTTACATTTTTTAACAATTTTAAAAGTCTGTAAATAAAATTCCTGTGGTGGTAAATGTGTAATATGTGTTATAAAATACAACGTAACGCAATGCATACACATATCAATAAGTTAGCAGAAGAGCCACATGCGTTTTGCATATTTGAAGAGAGAGAGAGAATAAACAAACAAACCAACGTGTCAACACCATTGACACTTCCACTATTAATATTAATATAATTGTCAACATTCATCGTTATTAATACATACCAGTATTGAAAGTTTTTAAGTATATTTGATATTCTCTCTTTCAGATTTTCTTTACAGGCAAGTAAGCCAACAACAAACAAACAAGACACACCTATATATGACAAACCCAAAAATCAACCAACCAACCAGCCAGCCAAACACATCATGCGAACACATAAAATACATAATAAGCAAACCACCCACACACGCACGCACGCACGCACACGCGCGCGCGCACACACACACAAACACACACATATATATATATATATGACAACAAGCACATAAACTAACCAACAGCTAGCCAGCCAGTCAAACAAACCAACACGTCAGACATGCAATATTCATAGCAGCAAAAGTGCTAATTTATTCCAAAAAATTGTTTTGGTGAGAAAACGGATTGAAAAAATAGAAAAATGATGCTGAGATACCATGAAAGAGAAAAAGTAAAAGAGAAAAACTAAAAGGGAGAAAGAAAAAGACAGAAAAGAGCGAGAGAAACAGAGAGAGATGAAGAGAGAACACAAAATAGAGATAAAAAAATGAGAGGGAGAGAGGAGTGAGGCAGAGCAAAAAAAAAGAAAGAGAAGAAAATGATACAAACATCTTTTGTAAATGAAGTGGTTGTAAGAGGATAAAAATTGAGGTAAAAAATAAAATATAATTGATAAACTGCATAAACACAGCATAAAATATATAAAAGTGGACATGCAAGATGGCGTGGTGGAATGGCCAGGACGGGATGACTGGACATCACTTGGACATCACATCATCATCATCGACAACAAAATCATCATCAAAAACGACAATATTATCCTTATCCTATACCAAACCATCTATCCAAATTATCACCATCAACCGGTTTTGCATTTACATAATCAAGTTTGTCAGTGAGGAGATGATCAACATTAAAAGCGTCCTCATTAACATCATCAGCAATCTCATACCCCAGTCAACATTATCAACCTCAATCACAACATTCCAACAGCATTACTGTCACTATCACAGTCTTCTTCTTCCTTAAGAGCATCATCACCCTCCTCATCATGTGAATTTTATAAAATGCATACATATCATAACCATAAACATGTACACCTGTCAAACTGCACATAAATATTCACAAACACTAATGTTTAAACAGGTACGACGTGTGCAGGTGTGTGTATGTGTGGGTGTGTGTACGATCGCACGTGCGTGTGTCCATAAACACTCAGATAATAAAAAAAACCTAGATAAAAGATAATAATAAAAATGCCAGCTGACCTGTCTAAATTTAGCTCTTGCTTCCTTCTCCTTCATCCGGCCATGTGCTACCAGATAGTCAAACACCTCGCCTGGAATAAACAAACAATCATGGGTTATTACAATTACCATCCTTCCAATTATGACAATAATAACGATGATGATTGTTATTCAAAGAAGACACTTTTTATAAAGTGCGGCGTTTCATTTTATGAGTAGTTTTAACAAGCCCGTTAAAATCCAACATACAGACAACAAGCAACGTTGACTGATATGATCATAAAAAACATCAACATTCATCACTGTCACTGTAATCATTCTTCAATCATCATCAGTACTCCTCATCAGCATTATTCATCATCATTATCATTATCAGCAGCAGCAGCAGCGCCATCATCATCAGTACTCCTCATCAGCATTATTCATCATCATTATCATTATCAGCAGCAGCAGCAGCGCCATCATCATCAATATCACCACCATTCAGCTTGTCAATATCATTACCTCCACTTGCATATTCCATGACGAGAAACAAGGTTTTTTCCGTCTCAATGACTTCGTAGAGTTTTACTAGGAATATCAGATAAACAAATAAATGAATTAAAATAAATAAAACCTTCAAGCAAAAAACACTACAAAACAAACAAAACAAAATAATATATTTTTATTAAGAAATGAAAAAAAACCCAAAAATTATGATAACAAGAAACCTATGTTTGGATGGTCCAGCACTTTCATTATGCGAACTTCTCGAAACAGCTGTCGAATTAATTATTATAATTTAATTTACTAATTTATTTTATTAAATGGGCTTAATAATATTAACCAAAACAATTGTTATTTAAAAATTTGGCCATATGAGAATAACATTCATAGCAACAAAAATAATAATAACAACAATAACGAGATGAATAATAGTAAATTAATATTAAGTGCATGATGCCTCTGATAAGATATTGAAAAAGTTGAGCTTGAATGGTTTCATTTTAACATTCCACACATTCTTGGTAGTTACTTATACTGACTGCAAACTAAAACAAAACTCATGTGTGTGTGTGTGTGTGTGTGTGTGTGTGTGTGTGTGTGTGTCTATACTCGTGTGTAATATTCATCATACAATATACGTTGGAAGGAGATCATACAAAATAGATTTACAAGGCAGATACATAACCCTGCATACATACATATGCTTACTCATTTATAACAAAGTTCCCTACCCTTAGCTTATTGAAGAATATCATAAATCAACGCCATCCTCATATCAACTTATCAACAGCAGCATCTATATCCATTGCTGATTTATTTATTTATAAAAATAATAATAATAATATAATCATATCATCACTTATGTAGTCATCATCTGGCCATTACCCAAACTAACCCACCATCATTACAATAATTAAGAGTGTTGTTATAATTACAACATTACAATTATTCATCATCACCTGTAATCTTATGGCTGTCTTTGCAACCATATTTTAAAAGTTTATGCTATCAATACGCCGTTAATTCTCTTCCTCGCTATTTCAAAAATCTGCCATGATCTCTTAACAACTATAATAATACTGATTTCTTATTCAAGTAAAAATATTGACGCATAGAGTATGCTTAAAATGCTATGGAAATATAATGAAACAAAATTACACCTTCAAACACCGCAATATAAATGAAATTAAATTCAAAGTAACTCTTTTAATTTCTAACACTCTATTTTTTAAAAATTCCACAAAAAATATTTAAAACAAATTTCATATAGCACACATAAGCACAACAGCTTCATTCTTAATTAATTAATTTACTATATATATATATATATATATATATATATATATATATAAGTTGTTTGCTCACATTTCTCATGTTCCGTATTTGATGTTCTTCTTACATTAAGTGTGCATGCAGTTGCAGGCAGATGGTGAATTTTTAAAGAATGTGCTTATGTCTGTATATATATATATATATATATATATATACATATACATATATATATATATATATATACATATACATATATATATATATATATATACATATATATATTTATATGTGTGTGTGCGTGTGTTAATGTGTTTACATGTGTCTGTGTCTATCTGGGTAAAACTTGAACTACTTAAAATAGCATTTTTCATTTATCCGAAAAACAAATTTTGTCTCAAATTTAAAACTTCTTTTAACGAACACCGCTAAACAAAAAAAACTATAAATAAAAAATGCTTCAGTTTCTTTAAAATAAAATTATAAAGCTTATTAATAAACACGTTGAGTTCGTACGTATTCATAATTTTGTTGAATTAAATCAATAAATTACACCAGGTAAGAATGAAATAGCTCACTGGTTCATAAATAAACACAAAACCGTGTTATGAATCAATGAGTGACATTGTGTTTATTTAAATTATCATCTGAGAAGAATTGAATTGATAGCTGTGTGTGTGCGTGTGTGTGAGTATGTGAATGTGTGTGTGTGCACACACCTACATACACGATGAAAGCACTAGTAAAATGTACATATAATTTGCACATTTCATTGTCAACATAACCATCAATGCCATTTGCATATGTTTAACCTCCCTCAATTCTATTTACAACACTGCTCTTACAATCTAATAAATCTTAGTAACAATCCAATAATCTAGATACCATATAAAGATATTGTATAACATTTTGTGGATAAAAATGTGTAAATGAGACTCTAAATATATGACACTATATACGTGGGCGGCACAGTGATGCAATGGTAAAGTGTCTGGCACTGGTATTAAAATGACCAGATTCGACCGCAACTAGATCCTTGCCTATCATTTTGTGACGCTTGGTTTCATGTGTATTCACATGCACTGTGTGTTTTTTGTTGATGCCGTTGAAAAAAAGGTTCCTGATAAAATAAATAGATAAATAAATGTGCACACAAACAGTACATACAGATGAACACACATTTAACTGGATATTTATTTGCATGATAAGATATTTACTGCCGATGCATACATATTTTACATCACAAACTTATTTAACTTATTTTTAAAATAATAACTTACCTATATTTTTCCGATAAAAGTAATTGATATAAACAAAATGATTTATTCACTGATAGCCAGAACAAACAAGAATATATCTATAAATAAATAAATAAACAAATCTATATGCAGTGGCGGATATAGACAACTTTGACGGGGGAGGGGGGGGGCAGAATTTTGAAAATGTTTAAAAGTTTATATTTTTCAAATTTGGACAGGGGGCCAATTATATTTTTAAATAAACTTGTATCGTATTTATATAATAAATAGCGTTATTTTTTATTGTTAAAAAGAGTCAATCTCTAAATTTTTTTTTATTATTTAACGCTGTCTTGAATTGAACCGATGATAACGGGAGGAGCCATGGCCCCCTCTCCCCCTATATCCACCACTGTTTATATGTATGCCTAGGTGTCTTTCTATATATATATTATATATATATATATATAATGTATACTAAACACAAAAATATTATCAGACAAAGTTTTTGAATAGGCAAAAATAGCTGAAGGACAAACAAAATAATATGCAAAAAAAAGAGGTAAAGAAAGAAAAATCCGGAAAAATTAAAAAATAAATTGCCATAAATAAAAAATAGCTGGATTATAAACATGGAAAACTTGTGAAGCCTAGCAATGGCTGAGAACACCCACAAAAAACAAAAACTACAAAAAAAAGAGCTTTACAGATACAGTAACAACAAAACAGAGTAAGAATAAAACAATGAAGATAATGACTTGGAATGAATTGTTTTGACACATTTCAACATAATTAAAAATGAGTAGTTGAATATGCTAGTTGTTTCTGCTGTTTCAGTACTATCCTGTTCCACCATTAAGGATGATGTTTAACTAGCTGCTCTCTTTTTCCTCACACAAACACACATACACATACATACACACACACACACACACACAAATACACACACACAAATACACACACACACACAAATACACACACACATGCCTGCAAATAAAACTGACAAAACAGTATATATAAACTGCACATTTATTCATTAAGACCCTAGCTACTAGTTAATACATAAAACATTCATTATAGCATGTATACAGTAATGTCATATGCCTCTCATGACATATGCATGTAGAGTGCACATACCACATTTGGCAAATAAACATACAAAAATAGGTGAGAAAGATCTTGATGTAGCACGTACAGAAATACACAGAAATATGCACACACAAAAACATACATGCACACACATGCAAACATGAACACTCACTTATATTGATTCAATCTAAAAATAATTAAAGCTAGCAGACATAACAGTAAATAGGAAAATGATAATGAACATATGTTGTTAGAAAAAAAAGAAATCATGGTCGGTTGGTCACAAAAAACTGTACAAAAAGTATAAATGATGTACATATTTACACTTTCTTATATTATAAACATGTCATATATAAAAGAAAACATATGCATACATATGCATATGAAACAATCAAAAGCTGCATACAAAACTAATTTTGAATTCCAACAAACCATTTTCCTACATAATGTGTATACTGCATATTTGTACATGTATGATGCATTCATACATGTACAAAAATTGTATGTCCTAAATGCATAAGTGGTACAAGGGCATGTATGTGCATGGCAGCCTGTGGAGAGAACATCAGTAGTTTGTTTAATGTGATATCAGAATACAGATTTATTGACTGCAGTAAGATGAAAAATTATCAACACATTCTCATCATGAAAGCTAGTACATCACTCTAACATCTATAATAACACTAAATAAATGATAACATAATCATTAAAATGATGATGATCAAAATGATGATGATGATGAAAATGATGAAGAAGAGGAAGAAGATGAAGATGAGAACATAAAGATGACACTTATAGTGCAAAACATCTCAGCAAATACAGCAATGTACAAAACATTGGGTTAACTGACTGGCTGGCTGGCAAGTGTGCAGTATAATTCCAGGCACAATAGCCTCCAACAAAACTCCATTACAATGAAAAGCAAAATAAAAGTGCATCAAAAAGTAGATGAAAATGCAAAAAGTACTATTTATCAGAATGAAATATTATTTAGGCCAGAGGCTCTAGCATTTTTTCAAAATCTGATGATGTCCATTTGTATTCCAGTGTTACATCATTTAACGTCAAACATTTAAATCTATGGATCAGATTTAAGTAAAGTTTACTCAGCTAAACAAGTAAAAAGTAAAAAAAACTGTATAAATAAAAACTAATATATAGAATAAAAACTTTGCAAAATTGCAAGCAACATGGGAGAATACATTTTCAATCGAAAAATTTTCATTGTAAAAAAACTGACAAAACTAACCCTAATGTAATGTAATGTAGTTTGATAAGCAGCATAATTGCTAGCATTGTAATTGTTAATGTAATGTTGCTGATTTTGTTAAAACCATTGCTCACATGCTGTACATAGCATAATATAACGTCATTAATAACATTAACAGAATGTACAGAGGGCAAATACATTATAAAAATGTGTTACTGCAAGAACATTATGTGCAGTTTGCACAATCACATAACGTCAATCAATATCAGATGAGATGAAAAAACAAGTTGAATGGATAACAAGCGTATATAAAAATTATAACAGGAAAAATACAGCATCTAAAACTTAATACTGTTACTACCATACACAATACTGAATAATTATAGACATTTACTATAGAATAAATTGTTAGATAAATAAACATAAACATGATATAGATTGATAATGAATCAATCAATATATAATCTCATTAAATGTGTGTAGAGTCTATGTACCATACCCACACATGATGTATTGTTATATGCAGGCTTCACAGTTTTGTAGTATTTCAGTGTGTGAGCCCATTGTGTGTGTGAGTCTGTGTGGTCATGTTTGTGTGTGTCTGTATGCTATTTGTGCGTGTATGGGTCTGTGTTTGTTTGCTTGTGCGTGCGCTTGTCTGCCTGAGTGTGTGTGTGTGTGTGTGTGTGTGTGTGTGTGTGTGTGTGTGTGTGTGTGTGTGTGTGTGATTTCGAAAATACATGGGTACTAGAATGTAAAAGGATGAGCATTGGAATTTTAGATAAAACAGTGAAACTTATACCATGAGTAATTAATACCATCCTTTTATAGGACAACATAGAAAAATACTCCTTGGTATAGCAAATAAAATACTCTGCATACATACATACCTGGATGTATAGTATACATCCATATGCATAACATACAGGCACACATACATAATGACACACATAGAAATTATAAATATATATATATATTATATATGTATATATTTTACATAGACTTATATATCATATACATATACATATTATATACATACATATACATATAATCTATACTTTAATATGTGTACGAGATATATATATATATATGTGTGTGTGTGTGTGTGTGTGTGTGTGTGTGTGTGTGTGTGTGTGTGTGTGTGTGTGTGTGTGTGTGTGTGTGTATATACAATATTGTATGCATTACTAATACATACATATAAGCGGTGAGTCTACTCTGCATAGAAAGACAGCTGATGCAAGGGTGGAGATCCAGTGATGATTAAATATTAACACTGATGATGGCAACACAGTGGTAAGTGATAATAGTAGTGATGATGCAGCGGTAATAGTAGCAGTGGTGATGAAGTGAGATGACGATGACCATGATGATAACTACGATGATGAAAATTGTGATGATGATTAAAAATATTTTTAAATAGTACATGAAACATTGATAAATGCGGCAGTAGTCACTAGTCCATTCATAAATATTCATGATGTGAGATGGGCCAACATGCATTCTGTTAAACATAGCAGTACAAACAAAAACAAGATATTTCAACAATAAAAAAATTAATAAACAATGACAACAATATCAAAAGACATCTACAACAAAAAAGAAGACAGCAAAAAACAAACATGGAAAATATCAATGCAAAATCACTGAAGAGCAAAGCCAAGTTCTCTTTATTACATACAATGTTGTTCTAAAGCAAACAGCCCAAGTAGAAACAACAAACTTATTTAATTGTACTATAATTTTTCCATTGTATTTCCTTTCAACAACATCATCATTCTTTTCAGTCCCATCATCATTAGTCATCAACATCATCCAGTTGTTGTCACTGATTGCTTGTTAACTACAGGTGCTATCAACATTTTAGGAAAATCAGCTATGTGGTTTCAATAACATCATCATATTATTTCATAAACATCTCCATGCTATACAAAGATATACACAGTTCAATAACTTTTATGACTATTATCATCACAAAGAATCATTTTTTTCATCATCAACAAAACCTTTCATCATTCTATCCAACTCTTATTAAGAAGTATTAAAATTATTTTAGAAAAAAAAATATCACCACACCAACCGATCATCATCATCATCATAATCAGAAAAAATGTTTTAATCATCATTATCATTATCACCAAACTTATCATCATCATCGTAGTCATCCTCACCATCAGCCATGTGAACAACCAGCCAATGCTTATTAATTTGCAGCAATATTTTTTCAACAAAGATTTATATCATCCCCCAGATCTAATTATCAGGTATAAAAAAACACACACCACACAAAAACATAACAAACAAACCGGCACTGCTTTTAGTTTGTACTCAATGAAGTAACATCAAACATAACTACAACAAACATATCAAGTAACATGGCATAATATGTACAAATGACAACAGAAGTAGCATGGAACTTTTCCAAAAATGTACAATATGAACACAAACACCTCTTGCTCATTCAATACTGATGCATTCAATACTAGCTTAAATTATGTGAATCTTTCTTTGTTGAGATCATCCTTAAAAATTCAACTGAATATATTTCAATGTACATACATGTCTCTATGTATGTTGTACATCTATTCTGCAAGTTATAAGCCATGCTATTTGTTCATATACAAATAACTTTATATATGCTGACTGGGAAGAGGAAGAATGAAAGACACAATATAATTATAGGTTTATTACAATTATTATAAGCAGCAGTAGTAGTAGTAGTAGTAGTAGTGGTAGTAGTAGTAGTACTACTATCATCATCATCATCATCGTAAATGATATCATTATCATCATGAACATCATTATCACTACCATCACAGTGCCTTTAATGTGATAAGCGTGTGTGTGTGTGTGTGTGTGTGTGTGTGTGTGTGTGTGTGTGTGAACTATATAATGGAGTTGAAGTATAGAAGTAGAAACATTAATCATGACTCTGCTGTGCTGAGTCAGTAAAGATTTTAAAAAAGTACTGAATTGAAAAATTAAAAAAAAAGAAATTCAAAGAAACAAATTATGAAAAAAAAAGATTTATTTACCTTCCCATCCATTCATCATTCCATTCATTCATCCATCCTTCATTCATCCATTAATCTTTCTACACCTCTACCCATCCATCCATCAATCAATTAATCCACAATTATTTAATTACCCATGCTCATATGATGAGCAAACTTTAAATACATTCCACACAGCCACACAAACATTATAACACAAACTAGAAACCCATTTAATTAATTTATCATGCTGTATAATATATTGTTTACAGAGATACACAGACAAAAACATACATTCAGTATTATCATTAGTCATAATCATTAAAACACTATCTTAATACATAGCAACAAATATATAACATCACAACATAATAACATCACAACATAACACAACATAATCACGCTTAACAACAAAAGAAAGAACACACATGAACATAATGTTTACGAAATTTATTAGCTCAGTAGAGTAAAAATAACAATGGCTGATGATAATAATAAAAGCTTTCACATCATATTATAAGCAGCAGTTGATTGAAAAAAAAAAAGCGATGATGATGATGATGAAGACGACTATAGTAATAATGATAACAGATAATAACATCTATAACACAAATAAACACACATTTCTGTTCATGAGGTGAAGTAATTAAAAAATTGTAACCACCATCATCTGCTTATGATGATAATGAATCATCACCACCATAACCTCTCAGCATCTATATATTTTCAGTCTTATAAACATCCTTATTATTACAATTTTCATCAGAATTTTCAATAGTCATCACCATTATAATAATTTCACCATTATTACTCATCCAATTACAATGAAAAAAACCTAAATGGTTTTTATCCAACATTAAATACAACATTACTTCTTATCACCATTGTCATCATTCCCATCCTCATCATCATCGTCACCACCATCATCATCAGTAATGTGATCAAGATTATAACATTTTTCATTGTTAGTCATCATCATTTTAAATTCTATCTCCTATCATTATCATGATTTTCTCATCATTAACGTTAACGCTATCACCATCATTATCATCATCATCCACATCATCATTACCACCATTATTATTATCACCATGACATTACTATATCATCATCATTATCGTCACCCAACATTAGCATCATCACTCAGTCAGTTGAGAAACACATCTTAATAATATTCATCACTATACATGTTTATCTTGTATGAAAGTTTTGTAACATGCATCATGTTTAGTGCATTGTGCCAAGAGTTTTTAGTAGTAATAACAACAACAACAACAACAACAACAACAACAATAATAATAATAATAACATTATTAACTGTTATAGGCCAAAATAACAATAATATAGACACATTTACTCATGAGCAATGTTTAACATTTCAAGTGCTTCTAACTGAATGTATTATAGTCACTTATTAATATTTTTTTATTTTATCATCAGATTTACATATTCATTCAGTTAACTGTGTTTTTTTATATTCAGTTTATTATTACCCTTAGTTTTAGATATAACAATTTCAATTAAGTCAGCTGATTGGATGATGTATAATAGAGCTATTCTATCTGCTTAATAAACAACCATTATACAAATTAAGCTATTATAACTCTACTTATCATTAAACAGAATCATGAAAATTAATTTAGCAACAAAAATGTCACTTATTAATATTTTTTTATTTTATCATCAGATTTACATATTCATTCAGTTAACTGTGTTTTTTTATATTCAGTTTATTATTACCCTTAGTTTTAGATATAACAATTTCAATTAAGTCAGCTGATTGGATGATGTATAATAGAGCTATTCTATCTGCTTAATAAACAACCATTATACAAATTAAGCTATTATAACTCTACTTATCATTAAACAGAATCATGAAAATTAATTTAGCAACAAAAATGTTGATTACAGATTGATAGCTCCAAGATATCAACACAAACATATGATCAATTGACTGATGATTAATGATATATTAATTAATTCATTCATTCATTTATTTGTCTCATTTACTAATTATGTTTATGCCATTTGTTCATTTATCTAATTCATTCATTTTTTAAAATCTGATAAAGATAATCAAAACCATATAATAATAATAACAATTAATGAAAACCTTTTGTAAGCTTGTGCTGTTCAGCTGTGTCTTGTCAATGATTTTTATTGCAACCTGAACATTGAATATTTTTGAAAGGAAAAATTAAGATGACTATTTTTGATAAAAACAAATAAACTGATAACTAAATGCAGTATAAGTAAAATTTGCATAAGTATTTCCAGTGTTTCTAGTTTCTGTGCTACAGTATTCCATATTTATTCAATTATACCATTATAGTATAATGAATGGACAAAACTAATTCTACTTCTCATTTATTGGAATGGCATCATCACTGTAAATTAATAACCCAACCACTAATATTATTTTAACTTGAAAAGTTTTAAATTCTTAAAATTATAAAGCCATGGCGTAAATAATTTAAATAAATATAATTTAAATAAAATTTTTTCATACCTCTCTGTCAGTCGGAATGTGTTTGGCCAATTTGACCTTGGCAAAATTACCCTTCCCGATGGTTTTCATTAATCGATACTTGCCGATGTGAGGTTCATCTCTCAATCTACTCGAGCCAGTCATTCGGTTGCCATTTGTTATTGTTGTGCCATCCTCCACGCTCTTAAAGTAAATTTCAATCAAACATTATTATTGCTGTGTTTGTAACTACTGCTATTTTTATTTAAATTTTACATAATAATAAGTGAATCAAAAACTGAGTATTAATGCACTGCCTAATTTTATAAAAAAAAATATAATCCAAATAGCAGAATCGATGTAACAATAATAACTTTAATTTAATTAATGGATCAGGAAATTTAATTTTAAACAATGTAAAACAAAACCAAAAACTCTGAAATTACAAACTTTGGAGTGATTAGAATTTTTTCCAGTTTCTCTATTTATAAATTCAGGTAATGGCTGCATGGGTGTTCTCGAGTTAGAACTAGCAGGAGTAGCTGAGGGGGCCCTTGAAGATGTTCTACCAACTCCACTTCTTATCCTGGAGCCCCCAATATTTGGCCCTCCTGACCTGAAAGTGGACGTTGCCGTATTTGAAACCACAGAAGCAGCAGGGGTGGCAACTGCAGAACTCATCTTTTTATTAATTTGCAGTTGATTTTAAAAATTTAAGTTCTAAGCTCTTGGCCAAGGGATCAAAATTCAGCAAATCAACTGAGGAAAATCAAAGAAAAGAATTTTTCCTTTCCTATCTCTGATCTTTATCTGATCACTTCACTTGCTTGCTGCTTCTTTTGTTGTCACAACTTTTTGTCCGCTAGAGCTAGATAATGCAACCAGGACAACATCTGACAGTCTATTTAATAATTTAATTTTTTAATGTAGATAATAAATGACGATGTAATCGATAAAAATTACAATACCGATTTCTTATTAAATATTAATTATGATTATCATGAAAACGATTCATATTTATTCCATCATTCATTTTCATTTTTTTAAGGTTATTTTTCTAGTTTAGTAGTCTGACACTGACAGCTTAATAAATTTTAAAACAGAATAAAATAAAAAAAACTGAAAACATTTATCGACTGATAAAACAAAAATAAATCATTAACATTTACTAAATAAAAAATAAATCAATAAAAATTATTTACTGATAAAAATCCGATCGCAGATTTAAAATTATCCATGATTGATTGGAAAAGATGGCGTTCTACAAAACTGAAAGATCAAAAATATACACATACAAATTCACTTTTAAACATTAGTTTGGTTTCCAAGTAAGACATCAGAATGATTTATTCTGCACCATCATAAGTTGAAAATATAAAATTATCTTTGACTAATTCGTTTAAACAAGGCACCTCAAAAAAACTTATTAACTCCTCCAATATACCATTATTGCTATATAAACGTATTTATCTTCTATATATTTTTTCAGTCGTTTGAAGACTTTTGTTCGAAGCTATCGAAACCATCATTTAAATTGATAAATTTGGAAAATTATATAACCAATAACACTAATAAACAAACTTTACGCAACGTTATGACTTACGACGCAATATAAAGAAGCAAATGCATGCACGCAGTCAAAAAAACAAGCATCAAATGGGTCCTAGCAAGCAAACGAAGCAGAATTCACGTTTCCGTGTTTATCTTATCAATCAATTCTTTTCGGTGTCCAATTTTATCCTACGTTTCTATTTAGGTACATTTACGACTGCAAAAACACTATTATAAAATATGAGACACAGCTATTGATTTTCTCCATAGCACCTACGCATAAGTTCTAAATAATCCTTGACGAGTTGTTAAGAAGTAAAAACAAAGAAGTGTAGTGTATTCGAATAGTTCTTTTTAATTTCCACAAAATCTGTACGAAAATTCCAGCTGTTTTACACGAGACAGCAAAACAGGAGTTCCCAAATACGAACTTACCCATATCAATTAAAGAGAAAGAAGAAATAATTTGTAGTTAACTTGTTCAGTCGGTCACTATCCTTAGAAACCGAAGGAAGAGTGCTCGAAATCATGGATATATATATATATATATATATATATATATATCCATGCTCGAAATATCGGTTTCTAATTTTACAAAAAGATAAGATGAATACGGCATGCATGTACATACAGTTGTCTAACGTATTTTATTATTGAACACTTTAATTATACAATGGACATACACACACACATCACATATACAGATATAATATTCATACATAGGTTCTCTTTATAATGAAATAACGCAAGAAAGCGCCGATCGTTGATTGAAATAGAGACAGCAGTGACTGTTGCAAAGTTACGCTCTCATCGGTGAAAAAACACTCATACGATAATAATACAATACAGGTTAATACATGTACTCAACCTATAGGCAGTAAGAGCGAGAGACGAAAAAGAATGAAGGCCTAGTTGAACGAGAAAATGAAACGAAAGAGAGGAGAATGTAGAAAATAATTAGTTGTCGCTACTGAAGACTTAATAGCATCACGTAACATTAACATTAATGAATCTGATACACGTACACGCGATGCTAACCGAAATTTTCATTGGCTTAAGAAGTTTTAAATGAAGTGATATTAAAACATAAATGTGATAATGTGAACCGGTTGCGATAGTTTATTTTTTTTATAAATTCTTCAAACAAATATTTTATTGAATAATTTTTTCAAATTATTACCTTAGTTACAGTTAAAAGCAATAAGCCAGAAAAAGTTGCAATTACATAACAACAGCACATCAATCAATCGACCAGTCAGCCAAACATAAATCAGATCATTATGTATGAACACTGTCAACAAGATCTGAACAGATTTTAAACAACAACGATATTGTGAATGATTTAAATAATCACAAAGAAAAAAAAACGATGACGTGTAAAGAAAACAAACAGATCCGTCCACACGATATCTCATCAGGATAGTTTACCGATCAAAGGCGAGGAGTTCAAGGTCCATAACCTTTGACCTCTGGGACTTCCTCCTTGATACGAAGGGGTGTTGTATATATTTGGAGCCATTTTTGGCGATGATTGTGGAATTTGTGGGGAGGTGGTTGTGGGCGAACGAGAATAATAAGCCCCAGGTGATGATACAAACGGTGATGATGGCGAAGATAACGATGCGGAAGCACTTGATGGCGGGGGTGGATTGAAGAACATGTAAGCTGCGGGAAGAGAATTTCGGAAAGATAAGACGTTGTTTATCATCTTATCGATCTTATTATTACATTATGATTGTGGACTAAATGAAATTCATTCAACTCTAACTAAGCCTAGTGAGATTCTGCATCGTTTTGTGAACTAACTACCGAAAATATATAGTTCTCAATTGAAAATTTAATAACAATACAATAAAAATATTGAATTAAAATAATATAAATAATTAAATAAGCAAAAAAACCCAAAACTAAAACTTGGACACTGACTCGAGAAGAGACAGAAGAAGGAGAAGAGGCAGAGGAAGATGTAGAACACCCATTCGTAATACGCACGCAGACCGACCCTCAGTCGTCGCCATATTGAAAATGGCGATAGTGATGATGGCGCTGTGGTGGTGGTGAGATCAGAATTATTAAATAATTTATAATTAGTCACGAAGTTGATGATAGATAGTGGTGGGTGATGAAGTTGGTTAGTCGTCATAATGAGCTGGTCTTTCAACACTAAAATGATAATGAAATAAGTATCTTATGGCCATTAAAATTGAAAATAAAATTAATAACTAACCAGCTGCCAAATCATCCTCATCTCTTTCCTCATCACCGTCCAGAGATATCTTAACATTTACACCCACTTCCTGACCTATATCCTCACACCTCAATACGACCTTGACCCATTTAGGAAGGTTATCGGTGATATAACTTGGCAAGGGTCTCGGCAGCGTTACGCGAAATGAGACGACGTCGCCGTCCATGGACGATGGATGTTTGTCAGCTTGTAGCACAATGTCATTCTCTGATTTTACCTGGTCAGTTCAGTTGGCGTTTGAGCTTGTTTTAAATGAGTGAGTGAAAGCATGCGAAATGGAAAAACATTTCCAAAAAGTGGCAAACAACAATTTAGCATAAAAACTTTTTATAACAAAACTGTGAAGGTACTCCAACACACAACAACCTCAAAAACAAACGAACAGTCAGACAGGAACAGGAAAGACATCCTCGACAACAAAAACTCAACAAAAACTAACCTTTATACAATCAACGACATCTTTCCTGGCTAGTACCCTAAGGTAAGCATCAGGAATGCCATAAGACACCTTGTACATATCTGCATCAAGCACATGGAAAGCAGGTACAAATTTTAATACAGCTCCTTCAGGCTGGGGCTGAAGGTGCGATCCAGGTGATGCAGTGAGAACAGTCGATAAAATAGGTGGATTGATGGTTAGATGGACTGAAGAGAAATTTATTACAATGGATGTGTTGCGTTGCTCTGGCTGATGCTGTCTGGGTGTGAACTTGCAGTAGTAGTGACCTGTTGGTTGAGGTGTGGTCAGCGCTCGATTGAATATTTTGAGGTTGTTCTTTCTTATAATTCAAATATTCACCGAACCATTTATCCGTCTATCAATCCATCTATTTATTCATTCATCCATCCACCAAAAATGCACAAATGAATGAACAAATGCATGAACAAACAAAAAAACCCAACCAGTTGTATAACTGAAAAAAGGTTCGACATTAAGTATGTCTCCAAGTTTGACATCAGCATCGTCATGAGGATGTATGGTGGAAAACTCTGCATGGCACTGGTAAAGAAAGTTAGTCACGTTCAACTGCTCAACTTTGACCTTTTCCATGCAGCTTTCGTCATTTTCTGGGTCGAATTAAGCGAGTTGTTTGAGTAATTATGATGAGAGGGCGCTTTAGAAAAATGATGTAAATCAATCAATCAATCAATCAACCAACCAATCAATCAATCAACCAATCAATTGTTTAGACAATCAGTAAGCCTGTCAGCTTGCCTGCTACACAATCGATAAATCAATCAACTAACCATATCAATCAACTAACCATATCAATCAACTAAACAATTAACCGACCAACCAATCAACCGACCGACCGACAAACCTTGCAGAGCAACAGCGGCAGACAATCCACTTTCTCCAACGAGCAGCACTCGAACCAACTTGACAGACATGGCATCTGAAAGGAGGTCACTATCAGCACCATCCAATCTTATCAGGTACCTCAATACAGGTGTGATTTTCACCTAAAGCATGCATATCGATTCAGCAAAAAAAGTAATTAAAACAATAGTATTAGAGTAATAGTAACATGCAAACCTAGTCTATTATAAATTATGCAAAAAAATATATAGAACCAAGACACACCTTCGTTGACGTCACAAATGAATTGAAATTAAAGATGACTTCTGAATTTCCCAACTGATAAGCCACAGCCACCCCTGATTGGCTGTTGATAAAAAGTAGGTCATCTGGCACTGACCAGGAAGCTGGTTGACCTAGTTTCAGAAGTTAATTGCAGACAAAATAAACCGATGAATCAATAAATTATTAGCCAGTGCGTAAATGCAGTTAGGACGTAAGTAAACAAAACAATCGTCAGACTAATTAAGAAACTTTTGAACCAATCAATCAACTGCTGAACCAACCAATCACTGATCAATCATCAACCAACCAGTCAGCTAACCAACCAGCTAACCAACCATCCAACCAATCAACCGACAGACCAATCAATCAACCGACCAATCAATCAATCAGCCGACCAATCAATCAATCAGCCAACCAACCAACCATGATAAGGTTGCAGGATTGATTTGAAGCAGACAACAGAGCCGACGACGACGTGGATATCGGCTGGATGGATGGCTGGCGAAACGTGAATACCAATATAATCTACCAGATTTGGTTGTGATGGTACAAAAATCTGGATGGAGAACAAATCATTCATTCATTCATTCATTCATGCATTCATTCATTCATTCATTCATTCATTCATTCATTCAATCATTCAATCGTTTAGGCGTTATTTCAAAGAAACATTGAATAAAACAACAATGCAAATCCTTTAATAATATAACACAAAGACCAACCCTGAGACAATTTTTCACGAATAAAAAAATACAAATAAAACCATCCACACAACGAAGCAACAATCCTCCCGACCTTCACAACGGAAAATCCGCTATTCATCGCCATCATCTTCAGTGTGCCGTTCTTCATCATCAGTTGGTGATGATGCTGCTGGTCTTCTAATATCTTCAAACTGGAGTGTCTGAACGTGAGTGTAATGGTGGAATGATGATGGTAGAGATGATGGTGAATGGAGATGGTGGTGGATGGCATTACAATTGATGGTTTAAAAGTGTGTTATACAAACTCGTCATGCCCTAAAATCAAATTAATTGATTGTTTAATTGATTAATTAATTGAATAATTAATTAAGAAAAAGTAATAATTAACAAAAAATAAATTTATTTTAAAGAGTACAACCAAACATACTTACTTATTCATAGCAATTGCCCAATCAACATTCACTGCATCAAATTTGAAGCCAATCTCATCGTGAAATGTCACAATTAGGTCAAATTCCAAACCAATAGGAAAACTTGACAGAGATTGATTGCCATAAATATGCAAGTGGGTCACGGGCGTTATCATTATGTATGATATTGGTTTTACCTTCAATGATTGAAAAGGTAATATATTATTGGTTCTAAAAAGAACTGTACAAGTTCACCGTAGATGAAAGAAATTAGCTCATCACCATCATCAAAATTGCATCGCCATCATCTTCATTAAACTTGCTATCAAATCATTACCATCTCCTAATCATCATTATTACAAGCAAACATCAGAAATGACAAAGATAAATGACAACCTTAGCAACAAAAGTCTGCATCTTGTTGGCATGATAACGATCTTCATCACCATCATCATCATGACTAGCCATACTAATTTTACTACTATCAACACCACCACCTAGATTTGTATGGTGAGCTTCAAAAATCACAGGAAAACTACCGATAGCAGATGTCGACTCGAGCACCCCTTCACTTTCACTAAAGTGAACTGTTCCATCTTTCGGCTTGTAACTGCTGCTGAGTTTACTATGCGTGGAAAGAAAATTCTTAACAGCATTTAATTAATGAATTAGCATAATTGATTAAATTGAAGAAATTGAAATGGAATGAAGTACGTAATTAATAAAAATAAATTTAAAGTTATTAATAGCACAAAAAACATCACAAACAAGTTTGATATCAAAAAGTTGAAGAACAAAATGATGGAATATTTTCTGGAACGCATCAAGAAAGACAACGATGATGATGATAATAATGATGATAACTTTAACAACAAACTAAATAATAATAATAATAACAACCAATAATTCAAAGAGGACAAAGAAGAAAGACTAACAAATTGGATAGTAGTTTAAGTTGTGTGTTTGGGGTGAGGAGGACGTGAGCTGGTTGGATGCTGGGCGAGAGCATCTGGAATCTATCTACAATCTAAACGATAATAAAAAACACCACGATCACCTAATTATTGTAACTAAATCTGATGACGAGACTCACTTTAACGGTAATACTGTCAATCATCTGTGTGCCATCTTCCTTGTTTACCCTCAAGGTCACTGTCACATGACCTGACCTCAAAGCCATCAACCTCTGGGCGAAGTTTCCGCTACTTTTTGTTGAAAAATTTGTCTGTAGATGAATGAGAAAAATTAATAATTTTACTTAAATTTATTAAAAATATTAAATAGTTTATAAACCAATCACAAGAGTTTGTAAAACAAACCAATCAAAATGGTAGTTAATCAAATCATTCTGCAAAGTGGGAAATGATTGGATGGTACCTTATGAAAGGCAGGTCTTAATTGGGCGACATGATGATCACTGATCGTCCAGTGGAATTTGCATTCTTCCGAGAATGAATATGGATCGATAGTTCTGTTGTGCGAGCCAACGGCATACAATGGAACCTATTACAAATCCAAAATTACTGACTGAATGCATCACACAATACTAATTACAATTTCAAATGTTTGACCAACCAACTGACTAATTAACTAATTAAAACAAATAATATCAATTAACATAATAGTTATTAAATTAAATGAGTGAGGTGTGCTGGCCATGCCTGTATGAAATCATTAATCCACGCGTCAATCAAACAACCAATCTATCAGCCAGCCTACCAATCAGACAAACAAACATCAACCTACCTGCCAATCAATTAACCAAACAGCTAACCTCATTTCCCACTTGAACTTTCTGCACAGGTGAAAATATCTTGACGCCAGCCATCTGAACAACACTCAGGGACATGCTGGCCTGTTTTCAAACAAACAAACGAATGAACACATGAATGAACAAATGAATGGACAAATAGGTGAACAAACAAAAGAATAAACAAATAAATGAATGAACAAATGAACAAACAAACTTGTGAATATATCAATTGATCACCAGCTCCAGCGTCCCAACTCCTAGAACATTCTGCCACAACTTTAACCTCCCCGACACTAACTGCTGTCACTAATCCTTGCTTATCGACGACTGCTACTGGATGCTCACCATCCTTCCTCTGCTTACTCTGCTTCCGATTCGTCTCACTGACTTCGGAGATGGGCTGTAGGTGGTAGTTGATCAAGCAGTCGGTCTGTGGACCTCCAGATGTTGTCACCTGCAGGGTATCAAAACTTTTCATCAAAATAACTTGCTGGGTGAGCAGCAGGAAGGATATTAATTTATTAATTTATTGATTATTAATTTGATTCATTATGTTAAATGTAGTATACCTCAATGGTCAGATAATATAACAAAAATTAATTAACATGTTCAACTATATACAAACTTTATAATCAACCAGTTGAGACATCAATCAAACAATCAACCAATCAATCAAAAAACCAACCAATCAAACAACCAACCAATCAAACAACCGATCAATAAAAAAAACCATCAAACAACCAACCAACTAATCAAACAGCCAACTCTATCAGCCAATGAAAATCAACCAAAATGATAATAGACAACCAACCAACCTGAAACTTAGTCCCAGGAGTTACTATCATTAATTCAGGCAGCAACTTCAATGGGGTGAACACCTTGTGATAAAAATCAATTAAGTAATTAGCAATCCTATTAACTAATCAATTAATTAATTAGCAATCCTATTAACTAATCAATTAAATGATTAACTAATCAATTAAGTAATTAAATAATCAATTAAGTAAATAAATAATCAATTAAGTAATTAGCAATCCTATTAACTAATCAATTAAGTGATTAATTAATCAATTAAGTAATTAGCTAATAATAGAATGTGCGAGTGTCTGTCGACACAAAAAGTATAAATAAAAATTTTGAGTAAATTGTGCAAAAAACTGGACACAAAAAAAAACACCAACAACAAAACGAAAACATTTTTCATACAACCTGAACGGCAACAGCATTACTGATGACGTCATAACTATAAACATCACCACTACCAGCACTTTTGCCGCTACCACTACCCTTATCGCTACTACTTCTACTACTGCTACCAGTTTTAATGTTGTCGGCGAGATTCCCGTTGATGGTTGCTTCAATGTGGATGGATGTCTTGCCCACAGATCTCGTGCGAACAGTTAAGTAAGCCGAGTGCTCGTCCAATAATTTCAGCTGGTTTCTAATGGCAGATGCGAGATGATTTTTATGTTTTCAGTCAGTTAGTCAACTAGTTGGTAGGCCAGCTAGTCAGCCAGCTAGTCAGTCAGTCGGCCAGTCGGCTAATCCATCAATCAATCAATCGATTAATCAAACACAATCAATCAATAAATCAATCAAACAATCGATCAATACATCAATTAATCAATCAATCAATCAAACAAACAAACAATCAATCAAACAATCAACTAATCGAATTACAAAGACAGAATGAAACCAACCCAACGGAGAGAACACGTTCATCAGTAGAGAATACTTGAAAGGCCATGAGGTGAAAATATTCACTGGGTATGGTGATGTTGTCTTTATCAGTTACTCTGATGATTAACTTGTACGTGACGTCGACAGTTTTGTCGGTGACGTCATTTTTGATGTCTTTGTCCTCAAGTGGCAGCTAATATGATAGGAATATTATTTTGTTATCAAGCAGCTTCCCATTAAAACATCATTGTTATCAATCATATAATTACAATTTTCATTAATTAGCATTAACACCTTAACATAATTTCGATCATTTAATGGATTATTTATATAATTATTAAAAAAAAACTTTCACAGAAAATCATAGCCAAAAGAAGAATTAAAAAAACGAAAGAACGAACACCAACCAAGTGATTGATATGTATGATGATGTTGTGAACGTTTGCTACAATTACGTTCAGCATGATGTGCTTAATGGGTAGTAAACACCTGTCTGTTACTATTATCTCACATCTACCCTCTCTTAGTGGAGTGATCTGAGTGAGTGAATGAATGAATGAATGAATGAGTGAGTGAGTGAGTGAGTGAGTAAGTGAGTGAGTGAGTGAGTGAGTGAGTGTGAGTGAGTGAGTGAGTGAGTGAGTGAGTGAATGGGAGAATGAGTGAAACGTCAAAACAGTTAACAATTACCATTCACCATTCAAACATTTTCAAAACGTCCTCACAGAACAAAGTGCTAACCAATATTTCTCTTAAACTAGCAGCCCCACTACTATCCTTACTAGCGCCATCTCTATTATCACCATCATCATTGCAAGTCACCAGGGCGGCAGTTGCCGAGTTGTTGGAAACGTCAAACTGTCCGGAACCATGGGAAATAATCACTCTGCCCTAAATGGCGGATGGTGGTGAAGTAATGGAGAAGATGGTGAAGATGATGATGAAGATGATGGTGAAGATGATGGTAAAGATGGTGATAATCATCTGTTAACGAATTCTCAATTTGGATTTAGACAAAACCATTCAATGGAACTAACTAGCTATTGTAAAATTACTTCGTAAAATTGGGAGAGACAGAAAATAAAAATCACGTGGTTGGTACGTTGGTAGATCTTACCAAGGCATTTGATTGTATAGACCATGGGATACTTCTGGGAAAACTTGAAATATATGGAATAAGAGGCACAACACTAAAATGGATGCAAAGTTATTTTTCAAAACGAAATCAGTTTGTGAAGTGTAATAATGAAGTGTCAGCGATAGAGTTCAACAAATTCGGGGTTCCGCAAGGGTCGATTTTGGGGCCCCTGCTTTTTGTTATCTTCATAAACGATCTTTCAGACTCTTCAAATTTCTTTGACCAAATTTCTTTGATTATATCTACTTTGCAGACGATACTAATGTCTTCAGTGTAGGCAAAAGCATCAATGAATTGATTGCAAAAACTAACATAGAAATTGAGCATATTAGCAGCTGGTTTAAAAATAATAAATTAACAATAAACATGAAAAAACTCAGATGATTGTGTTTGGTCCAATAATTTTTTTAAATTATAAAGAACCTTTCAAAATCGTAATAAATGGTTGTGACATCATTGAGAATAAAGTAGACAAGTTTTTGAGTATCTTTCTGGATCAGAAATTATCCTTTCGTTCACGCATAGACAATTTCTGCTCAGAATTAGCCAAATCTATTTGTTTAATAAATAAAATAAAGTTTTTCTTGCCGAAGAGATGCTTAAATATGCTATACAATGCTTTGTGTATCCCTCTTGTAGGTTGCTGTAATGTAGTGAAAATGCGCAATCCTTATTTAAATTAACTAAAAACTTAAATTTTAATCAATCATGCACATTTTGCATAATGAAATTTGTATACAAGCAAGTCTCAAACCAGCTGCCATTAATTTTCGGGAACTACTTTGCACCTAGTAACAACGTCAGAAGACAGAAGTCTCTCATTTCTTCTAAATCAAAGACGCATATTCTATTACATGACACCATAAGTAGACGCATATTCTATTACATGACACCATAAGTAGAGGTCCAAGAATGTGGAATATGATGCTACAGAAGGGCTTGCCAAATGAATCACAACAACTATCTCAATTCAAAAGAAATTTGAAAAGTATTATTATTAATAATATTATGTAAAGTTATAGAGTGTGTGTATGTGCATATATGTGTATATACATATGTATAGAATCTGATTTTAATTACGGTAACTAAAGACACTTCTTCTAAATTTTTCAAAATTTGTTGTTTTATTTGTGAAAAGGTGGCTGTGCAAGATGAGCTCATCATGAGCTTGATCACAGTCATCCTGCCTTCTTTATTGTTATTTTGGGAAGGAAATAAAAGTTCGTTTCGCTATGTCTCGAAGATGATGGTGAAGATGATGGTGAAGATGATGATGGAGATGATGGTGAAATGGAGATACGGTAGTGATGAGATGATGAAGATCACTTTTATTATCATTATCCTCATCATATATAGACCTTAATGTATGGACTGTTCAAAAGAACCGGCGATGACGATGATAAAGTTGGATATTTCAACAGATGGAAGTTTATCTGGTCACTAAGGATCGGATCCATCTGAATTGATTGGGATGATAACGGTGATCAAGATGATGAAGATTACAATGATGATGAATAAGATGATGATGTTTAGTGATGGTGAAAAAGATGATGATGGCTACAATGATGGTGATTAAGATGATGATGATGATTACAATGGTGATGAATGAGACAATGATGGTTACAGTAATGATGAATAAGATGATGATGATGATATGAGTATCATAGTAATATAAATTTGAAAAATGATAAAGACCTTCCTGTTGCCATAGAGATGATTGTACATCTCCACAGTGACAGAAACCGCCAGATCACCATTGTAACCATTTGTGTGCAACAGTACATTGTCTAAATAAAAAACCAATCATCTTAACACACACACAAACACAAACACACAAATATCCACACACACACATACACACACAAATACCCCCACACACACACACAAACACACACATCCAAAATGCATGCAAATGTACAAGTATCTTCACTGAGGAATGTATAAGCATTTAGAAAATGCATACGAACAAGTTGAACATATATTGATACACACATATTGATACACACATACATATTCATGTCATGCTCACAAAAATTTTAAAAAATAAGATCAATTAAAAATATAGTAATAATAATAGCAACAACAACAACAATAATAATAATAATACAATATATATTACCAATATTAATACTAATAAAAAAAGACCTCCATAAGAGAGAGCACCACGATCCTCTGCAGACTCAATGTCAAATGAAGCCAAACTGGCATCAGATAAACTCCATTTAATAGCAACAGATGTCGTGTTTTCAATTTTATTTGAATGTCTGTTGTATAAGTTTACTTTTAAATGCACTTCTTGACCGGCTGGTACTGGAATCTGCAAAAAAATATTGCATAAAGTTTACGAAAATAAAAACTTGAACAATTTTTACTGGATTTTTCTCATTATATTAAATTCAATTCAATATGTGTAATACTATTTTTAAATATTTTCAATCAAGTTATTCAATTTATCAGGAAAAATGCAATTTGACACTTCCATTTATGAAAAATTGCAAAAAGATCAAAACACATAGACTGATAAGTCAATGAGTAATAAAACCTAATAAACTGAAATATGAAATTAACAACTAATTAAATAAATTAAATTAATGTAATTATTAAGTCCAAAATAATAAAAAACGAAAAAAAGAATTACTAACAGCAGCCCGTTTGAAAGCCTTCAAATCACATCCCTCCAGCATCTCCTCGACATATGGCTGAGATGAAATTTTCAAAAACTTTGGCTCGGAACAAGAAACCCTTGTTTATTTCATTACAAATTATAATTATATAATTAATTACTTTTATGTCTCATGCATAGATCTATATTTAGTGCAGTGGCAAGATGGTTAATATCCCAGCCACTACTGTTGCAACAGATAACGGTTCGAATGCAAGAACTGACATGTGTAGTAGTTCTGACAAAATTAAAAAAATTTTTATGTCATATATCTGAATAGCTGCCACTAAATTCTTACCATCAATAAAAATAATACAAACATTTACACATTAAAAGCTAAACACTACAAACATAACCAACAAAATCTAATTTTAAAAAATAAAGCTGTGACGATTTTTATAAATAAAGCTTATAAAGTTAAAATAACCTCAGTAAAAATAATTTCAAACTAATAAAAATAATAATCTCAAACTAATAAAAATAATAATCTCAAATTAATTAACTAAATTCAGAAATAAAAAATCGATAGAAATAAAAAATAAATTAAATAACTAACGGTACGTAAAGCTGTGAGACAGCTGGCCTACGGTTATGAGCCGTTGGTCCATTGCCAACTGATAATCTAATGAACTGTTTTTTTTTTAAATAACATTGTAGACCATTTAACACTGTCCTCATCACCAACATTATCATTATCATTATTGCTTGTATTTAAATTTTAATTATATTTTATGTGTTACATTCATTTATATTTCCTTTAAATATCTTTCATTTCATTTTATTTGATGCGACAATAAAAGAGTATTTCCATTATTATTTTTATTATTATTTATTATTATATATTATAATAATAATAATAAATATTATTATTATTAATGTTATTACCATTATCATTACCTAGAAAAGATGGCAACAAAATTTAATGTTTCAAACATTCCACGCAAATCACTCTACAATGAAAATTATTAAAAACAAATGCCCCAAAAACAACAAAATAATAATAAAATTAATCAGAACTGCAATCATAATTAAAAATTGAAATAGTAGAAATGAAAAAATGAAACGAAGCAAGATTGATGTCTGGCATTCACCTTCTCATCTTCCTCGTGGCAGAAAACAGTGAACGTGTGCATCTGCCCGCTAGCTGCAATAAAATAAAATATGAAAAATATAAAATTAATAAAATAAATTAAGCACATAAACTCAATAAATATGAAAAATGAAGTAATCGGAATAAAGAAAATGAAGGAATACGAAATAAATTTCTAAATAAATATAGTTCGGATACTATAAAAAGGTGTTAAAAAGGTCTCATACAATCGTTTCAACTTACAATGTGATATTGATTCAATATCAGAAAATGAAATAGACGAGCCACTCTGTTCATCATCATCTTCTTCTCCATCAGCTCCGCCGACAGCTCTCGTGGTAACTTTATAAAAAAAAATCATAATAAGATTGATGTTAGGCATTCAAATTTTTTTTTATTTAATCAAAATGGGATTACATAAATGCGATGGCAAAAGCACCTATTTAAGTAACAGCACACCCATAATGTCAGTTAGGTGGATAAACGTATTAAAAAATTATTTTGATTAGAAAAATAAAGTCATACTACGTATGATATGACAAAGTGAAATTAATATAAAGATATGATACCATCTCAACCGATACGCATATCAATGGTACTCTACAAATTAGTGATTAGTGAAAAATGGTCGTAAATTAGTGAAAGATGAACATAAGTTAGTGATTAGTGAAAAATAACGACCAACCCTTCCTAAAATATTTGGTATCGTCTAAGAGCCATGGCATTGGCCCACCCACAACCACCACCTTGCTGGACGTTCCAGGACTTATTGTTACAAAATTGTCCGGACTTACCAACTGAAAGAGCATGGGAAGAGAATAAACGATTTAAATTTGTGAAATTAATGAAAATTAAACGAAATCTGAAAACTGGCTAATAAAACCAGTTTCTATTCTATATTAGTAATAATATATTCAGACAAAGAGCAATCAAATTTGATGAAAATATCTTACATGATTTACAAATTAAAAGGCGTTTTACTATACATGCAAAAATTAAAGCGATATCTAAATAATTATTTTACAATAGACCACGGCCAAACATTAAAAACGTTAACCAAAACAAGTGCTAAACAATATCAGTGACATTAACAGCCACTAAACAACAAAATAACCACAACAACACACCAACGACAACTACTTCACATGCACAGACCATCAATGGTTGATAGACAGCCAAGACAAAACTACTACCAATGACAACATCATTGTATGTGTACGTTACAAACAGCTCTGTGGTTCCCAAATTTTTAGCTTTCATCCTCAAAGCAGCACAAGGGGATGTTGATAACAATGATGGCTTTGATGATGATGAAAATGATTTCAGCTGGTGAACTGTGCGTTTTTATGAAATTTTTTTAGATTAAATAAAATGAATGCATATCTATAAATTGCCATCAAATTATAACTCCATAAAATATTGCCCTCAGAATCATCTTTAGAAATGAAACTAACACCTTCACCATCACCATCATCACTTTCATTATCATCACACCTGCAGCAAACAGTATGCCCATCATCAACAGACAATAGATTACACAACTCACATAACTACCTTCTATATGATCAAATATGTTATCATTTGACGCGGAGATGATGAAGTCCAAATGTTCACATGCATAAGCTGGAAAGTCATTAGTGCCATCTGTAAAACAAAAAAAATCATTCCATATAACTTTTTAAAAAAATGAAAATCTCACTTCACACATAAGAAACATTATTTATCAAGAGAGACATGCACACGCACGCACGCACGCACACGCACGCACGCACGCACGTGTGTGTAGTGAACTAACCAGACAGAATAAGAGCAAATGGTATGGTGACTTCTTCATTCAACACCACCTCAACATGACTCTCATTTATTTCAATCCGTTTTGGCGGCAAGACAGATATCTATCAGGTCAGGTTTATGTTTATTTTTAAATAATTTTCTATCAGATTTATATTTATTTCGAACTTTATTTTCAATCTTTCAACATGTTGTCGCCACTCCTTAAAATTTAAGCAACTGTAATGTTTGAACATCGATATTCTTAATAGCAATTAAACTTCTTGTATTTGCATTCATAGATGAACTATCAAAAAGCTAACTCTTTGAACAATAAAACAAATAAATAAACAAACAAACAAACAAATAAACAAGCAAACCAACAAACAAACAAGCAAACAAACAAACAAACAAACGAACGAAACAAATGAAATACAAGTGACTAACAAGGCAATCATCTTTGAATGTTGGATGTTTAGCATCAATGGCTCTAACATAGCTCATCCTTACCCGGTCACTTTGAATTTGAACAAGAGCGCTGCCACTCTCAGCAGCAGTAGCCTCAGAAATCCCAACGTTACCACCGCTTGCTGTCGCTACAATTTGTATCATCAAGTTGTCATCTGCCTTCCAGACGTATTTCCCTTTTCCACCTCTTGCCTAATCCATTTTTTTTTCATTTTTATTTTGTGAGTTACCACTTCATAATTTTTAGAAATAATAAAGTTTAAAGTAGCAGAAATAAAATTAGTAGTACATGTAGTTGCTGTTGCTGCTGCTGTAGTTGTTGTTGCAAAATTAATTGTAATATTTAGAAACATTAATGTGTTAAACATTCAAAAAGTTTTTGGATTTAAAGACTAATGATTAATATACAAAGGAATGAATGAATGAATGAATGAATGAATGAATGAATGAATGAATGAATGAATGAATGAGTGAATAAACGAACGAATCAATGAATGTATACACTGATGAATGGATGTTGATATACTTACATGAATATTTATTTTGGCTGGAGTGCTGGAAAGAGGTGCAAAGACCTGTTTGACATTCACCACAATGGAATTGATGACCTCCAGATCATGGCTGCCGTCCACTGATTCATATCTGATTGCAACGCCACCATCCTAAAATTAAAATGTCTTGTTTCGTTTTTAAAAAATTAAGTAGAAAATAAAACGAAGCGTATCAATTAAGCAGTCAATTTCTAAAGTTATTTCCTCATTAATGATACAACCTTGACAATAGCAGCCAGCTTAGCATACAGGCTGAACACCCCTTTTTGCTTAGCCTTAACGTAATGGTACGATCCATTAACTGATGAGTCCAACAATTGGAATTCTTGAGGGAGGTTTAACTCTATTCTCACTTTCTGAGGAGGATGTAAGGTAATGGCGGAAAAATGTTAAAAGTAATGGGATGTGAACTTTGGCAAACCAACAAAAATCAACAAATATTCAAATACATAATTTATAAAGAAAACATTCCACATATCATATATCTATAAGATCAAGTAAACTAAATTAATCTACCAATACAATGACCCAATCAATCAATCAATCAATCAATCAATCAATCAATCAATCAATCAATCAATCAATCAATCAATCAATCAATCAATCAATCAATCAATCAATCAATCAATCAATCAATCAATCAATCAATCAATCAATCAATCAATCAATCAACCAATCAATCAATCAATCAATCAATCAATCAATCATTTAATATAAAGCAACATAAATCAATCAACCAGCATACAAATCAGCCAGCCAATCAATCAACGAACTAACACATCAGCCCAACAAAACTGACCTCATCCAACTGGATGACATGACCAGCAGCTCCCATGATATGAACATGCATTGCATATTCCTTGTCTGTCTCCAAGACCCAATTGCAAGCAGGAGATATGGAAAATTCTGGAAGAGGTCAGAATATAACACATTGATACAACTGGTGTTATCATGATATCCAGATAGTATCAGTATCAGTGGTAGTATCATATTATCATCATGGTAATATCATGATATGCAGATAGTATCAGTATCAGTATGATATCAATATAGAAACCAACCAATGTATGATGGCTCAACAACATAAACTCCGGCACTTGGCTCTCTGAAGACACCAGCCAGCTGAGCATCTGATGATAATAAACATTTTGATAAAATTAATTAATACTTTTTGATAAAATTATTTATCATAATATTTTAATATATTATAATATTTTAACAAAATTATTATTTACAATTACAAAATTACAAAACCAGAAACAACAAAACTACAAAACCAGAACCAATAAAAACCAAACAAAACAAACTTTAAATTTACCAAAGATTGAAAAATGTGGCTAAAAATAGACGCAAACAAAACCAAGAAAAAACAATAAAACACAGACTTTGTCCTTTAAGTCTGACATCAGTGTGTCCAACGGTGAGACCAGTGATGGTAGATGTAGTCACATCCAAGAAAATGACGTCATCATCATTGGTGTGCAGGTAGTAGATAGATGACGGCATTGTTACTTCTGTAGTGTGGTGTTGTTGGGCGTTTTGAGGGCTGTTGTTGTACAAACAGACAAACAGACAGACAAACAAACAGTCATACTGAAAGCTTTCCCCTGTTTGAGCAACTCGACAGTGAATTGAACAGACGTGTGAGGCATGATGTAGACAACACTGGGCACCAACTGTAAGTTTGCCACAACTAACGTCCTTACTGGCTCTATTTCTATGTGCTGTCCAGGGGTTATTATAGCCATTATTATTATTATTGTTATTATTATATTAGATTAAATAGGATTTTATAATTATTTCATTATTAATATTGGGTATTTGGAGTTAGAAAATAAAAGGATGTTCCCATTATTATTATTACTATTATAAACCATAAAAAATTGATGGAAACAATGATTATGATTAAAACTTTGAATTTTATAATGACTAGGAAGACTATTATGATTACCAGTGCTCAGTCAATCAATCAGTTAATCAATCAGTTAACCAACCAATCAATCAACCAAAATCAATCAATCAATCAGTTAATCAATCAATGAGTCAACCTTATAAACTTCATCAACAGCTCTAACAGTGACCATGGCACTTCCTGTATGAAGACCCTGAGCAAAAGATTATGAAAAAAAATTTATTTAAAAATACCTATTAACTTATTGAAAACAGGACAAAATTATTCAATTGGGGGAAAATAACAAAAAGATAAACATTGAAATAATTTAAAATTTCAAAAAAAGGATATATGCAACCTTGATTAATATCACATCACCTCTCCTGCCATCTTGCTCCAAAGACCTTATGTAAGACGGAGCAACGTAGGATGATTCTGAATACTTCAAGATTCTAAATAATTTGAAAAAGTCTACCATTGCATAATATGAAGCAATAATTAACTAAATTCACTAACTAGAAATTAAAATCTGATATTAATTCAGTATTTGTTAGAAAATAATTAAAAATATTTAGCCAAAGTAAAACATTTTTAAATCAACTTTGAAAATTTTTCAACAACTGAAAACCTAAATTGAGATTAGTACATTATTGCACCCACCTAAGAACCTTATTAGGAGCAGGTTGCTCTACCTGGCTAGTAGCATTATCTGGCATGAGGTTCCAATCAAACTCCATTCCCTCCAAACTACTAAAGACATCATCTTAATGTCGTGTTGATGAGATGAATACTAATTAGTAATTTTTTATGTTGAATATCTGCTGCGTTTGAACTGATGTGTGTGTGTCATTAAATTGTAAGATAATTACTATTATGATGTTAGTATACAAAATACATTGAAAATTTATATTAAACATTAAATGTAAAATATAATTTATAAATTATTATTTCATTTTTATTTAAAATCCATTTCATCACCTAACTACCATTAATAGAAATGCTATACTACTTATAAATAGTTGTCATATACAGTTAGCATTATAATATTATATGTAGCCATATTTTTTTTTATCTAAAATATTTGTACATAATCTTTTTTCAAATAAAATAAAATTAATTGAACCTTTATCATTGTAGGCCTTGAGAACAAACTCCTCAGGTGAATCATCCAGATATAACTCCTTAGTGGTTGTCTGGATTTTTATGGACACTATCTTGTCGACTATGACATCACATCTCAATTCTTTTCCTGATGCTAAAAAATGAAAATTTAAATAAGAAATAAATAACTGGCTTATTAATAATGAGATTAAACCGAATAATTATTAATATTATATTATATAGTAAGTATAAGAAAAGCAGGCTGAAATTCATATTATTTCAACTTTATTTTTATTTAACAAAATATAAAATAATAAAATAACCAATGTCTTGGGCTATGATAATGGCTGTCTTACGATCTGGGATTTTAGTGACTGAAGCAACAACGGCAACTCTGGAACAATCATTGTTTTCATTTCTGTTATCATGATGGTCTGAATCATAAATCAGTTGAACAGTGGCTATATCCGGTCTGGTGGATTTCCTGATGCCGGCAATTTTTAAAACTATATTGAAATATTTAACTAAAGAACAAAAAAATAAATAACTTTTAAGTGACTTCACTGCTTAAATTATAAAAATCCAAAAATGAGTGATAAAGCAAGCGATAATTGGAGAATAATGAAGTTGAAGATCACCAACCAACTTAAGCACCCTTCAGTAGCCTCAAGAGTGAAGTTTATGCCGATTAAACTGTTATAGGGCAATAATAACTTGGGGACATTTAATTTCTGAGAATCACTTATAACAGCGACGCCAGTTAGAAGGAAAAAAATTGAAAACAATATTTTTAAATTCATTTTTAGATGCAGTATCTGTTTTGCCGCTAGCAAAGATTCAACTATTATGGTCAAAGTTTTTCGAAAAATTATTAGTTATTAACATGTTCTAAATTTAATTTGAAAAACTTTATTATGTAAAATAAGTATAAATAAAAACAATTTTTTAAATGTTTGATTAAAATTTGAGTAATAATTGAAAAAAATTGTAGGTACCTTTGACCACTCAAACACATGCAATTCACATTCATCTGATCTCAAATTTATTTAAATGGCTCGGAACATTTTTAGGATTAGCTCAAAGTTTAAATATTTTAATGATTAGAAATGAATTTTAATTAATTCGGAGTCCTTTATAATGATTTTTTCTAACATTTTTCGTAAAAAACCTCATGAGAAAGGTTTAAATTTTCATTCATTGACTGCCTCACCTATGGCTCATTTCAATTTCAAATTTCATCAAATTTAAAAATTAAAAATTTATTTCTCAAGCATCATCAAGCTGAATTTTTCACGCATTCATTCATCATCATCGTTGTTCTATTTATGTTGTGTGTATATTTTTTTACAAATCAATTCACATATTTTTCAAATTAAATTAAAATATAGTATATTATAAAAAATTTCACCTAAATTAGAAGAATATAGTAAGAGTAAGAAAAATGAAGTTGGAGATGTTCGAACCAAGTCCATGGGTGTCAACCAAAGCAGGGAAAAAAGTAACATTAGTAAGCAAAAAAATGTTATTTTTAATATTTATTAGTTATTATATTAATAATTTTTACTTTTGATTTTTGATGGCTGTGTAATTTAGAATTTCTCAAATGTTAAATTACAAATTAAATCTTAAAAACAGTAATCTCTCATTAATTTTATAAATGTAACAAACCTTCTAATCTACTCTTTTTTAAATCAAATCAATAGGTCCCCATAAAAATGGCCTCAATAAAGAGAGTCCATTGAAAAAAGAAAATAAAATGGATGATATCAGTGGTAATAATTACTTCTTATTTCATTCTGTTAGCTAACTTCAATTTTTAGATTTTATTTTAATTCAATTATTTTATATTTAGTAGCAGGTAACACGCTTTTGAAAAATAAATTTGTATATAAACTATTTTTTCTTATAAAGCAGCATCTGCTGATCAAAATAATACCAAATTTATTATTGTAGCATTTATAGTTACATAGAAAACGAATTTCGAAAGAATTATTTATATATTTATAATATCTCATATCTATGATATTGTTATTTTCATCTTGTTACACTACATTTTTTTATAATTGTAATTTTTTATTTTTATATTGAAAGTGATTTTATGGATATAAGAAATTTTTCTAAATTAAACAAGTACAAAGATACAAAATAAGATTTAAAAAATATTGAGTTTGTTATATCTTAACTAACACACCCAGTACATCTGGCAGTCTCAAAGTATGCATCAAACTTGTCACAAAAGTCCCAACTCTACAAATCCCTTTTGGAAACTTTGATGGATAAGAGTGCACTGTCCTACTTCATGCAGTTCATGGAGTTCAAATTCAAGTGTAACCTACTGAAGTTCTGGATTGATGTTCATAATTTCAAGGTATGTTGCTTCTGTGCGTTTGTGTCGGCTGTTGTTGATTTATTTATTTTACTTCTTTTTTATGGGAACTGTGTTGATGAATGTGGTTTATCAGTTTAGGAAAATGTTGTTTATTTATTTGATATAAATTTAGATTTTTTTTTGTTGTTGAGTTTAATTTTTTAACTTTGAAGTTATCCTCATCAATGGTCTCAAAAGTTGCACTATGTCACTCCAACGGTGGTGCATCCTATGCGAACCATGTGACACCTTCAACAGCAGCAACAACATCAGCCACAACAACAAACATTCCTAACTCCGTATCACTACCGATATTATCATCAACAACATCTGCATCTTTCCCGACAACGACATCACCTTTATCATCGTCACACTCATCTTCCAACACCCAGATGATTTTGAATGCTTGCATCTTATATGATGACATAGAAAAAGAACAGCAGAGGGAGATGATGATGATGATGAGCAGTACGAGGAGGCGATCAATTGAACAATCTGTGATATCAAATTCTTTTCAATTAGGTGAATTGTAGTTGTTATTGTCAATCGTTTATTAGAATTTTAATATTTGTGTTTTTTTAAGTATTTTCCTTATTTCGTTGTATTAAAACGTTATATGAAACTCATTGGCATATTTTTTGACTCGAAAGTTATACCTTACAATCAGTAAAAGTACATTTAAAAAATATTATACTGCAAGTCTTATATTAAATTGCATTCAATAAAATACATTTCATTCAGTTTTGTCAGAAAATAATATCTTTAATGATTCAATATAATTTTTTTTACTTAAGAGTTATTTTTATATATAGAGAGGGAGAACACCATAGCAATATATAACATTTCAGCAGATGGATCAGACCTAGAAAACGATGCCTTATTCATTTTCACACGGTACCTAACGGGCGACACCCGACACAAAATCGACGTGCCTACTTGTCTGCAGCAGCTGGTTGCTCAGAGGTTCTCTTGTCTCGAGCAGCAGGAGTTGAGGGCTGACTGTTTCGATGAATGCCATAACTATGTCTTTGATCTTCTTCAGAAGGAGTACGTGCTTTTTTGTAGCTCCCATTTCTTCATAATAAATACCAACAAATTGCATCGCGAAATAAAAGTATTTACAGAATGATAATAAAATAATTACTAATATATAAGGTTTATGTAATGTAATATAATTAATATCATTTTACAAATCTTTTTTTCAAAAAGATATCACCCAGAGTATCTACAAAGTTCATTCCATTACAAACATCAGTTAGATATCTTAACCAGTAACAATCTAATAATTCTTGACATTCTCTATCATGAAACTTCTCTATCTTATTTTACAGAAGTATGTATAGGTGTGCGCATGCTTGTGTGTCTGTGTGTGTGTGTGCGCGCGCGTACGTGTCTGCGTGTTTTAACGTGTGCGTGTGTGCATGCACATGTACGTGTATGTTAATTGTATTTATTTGTTTGTATGTCTGTTTTGTTTTATTATAAGTGTTAAGGTGATGCAATGCTTCACATGTGTATACATAATAATTGTGTAATATATTTTTTTATAATTTTTTGACTTTTTTTATTGGTTAATTTGAATAGATTGCAAATGAATATGTATGGAAGACTATGTAACGTTTAAAAATTAATTTTCTTATAAAGTTCATGGAGCAAGAGCAGGCCATGGATTATCTTCAGTGCTTTCTGGATGTTGACAACTACCATCACCACCATCAACATCTACAGAGATGTCACCAGCAACATTTTTCACCAGCTGAAAAACAAAATGATATCAATAATAATCAACAACGTCATCATCATAAACAGCAACAAAATTGTTGCCAACAAAAGCAACAAAAACATACACAACAGCAAAAACTGACACACCGTGCAAATAACATCCATCAACATTCGCCTAACACACTTTCAACATCATCGTCATTTAATAATTCAACACTTACCCATCATTCCATATCTTCATCATCGTCAAAGTCATCATCACCATCACAACTGCAACTACCACAAGCATCATCATCACTACCAGCAACGTCGTCATCGTCCTCTTCACCATTCAGGCCTAATGTTCATTCTCAGCTAGCTCAAGATGATGCCATGGTTATATATGAAAAGTTTGGAAAAGTTTTTTCATCTTTCTTCACAATTTCTTTCACTGAAGAACATAATTTTTCTTCCTTATCAGTGTTCATACATATTAAGCTAATATTGTTTTTACAAAATTCCTTTATTTATTAACCATCCTTTGAAAGAAGCTCTCTAAGCTATGTTACTTACACAGTGCATATAATTTAATGAGCATGCTAATGGATAAACATGTATCAATAAATAGGTATACAGTTTGTGTAATACATACATAAAAATTTTATGTATATAACTTTGAATTTTGTTTTAATATCTTTTTTTAAAGTTATTCTAAATCACTAAGGATGATTCATCAATAAATTAGTGTCATTAGCGAAAAATTTTGTTCAAAATCATTAAAAAATTTGAAATAGTTGAAAAATTAATTGAAAAAATTAAAATAACAATTTTTCATTTTCAGATTTTTTTCATTGCAAGCTTCTCGACCTTTGAACTTTAGCGACGGTATCAGATTAGAGTTGGAAAGTTCCATCTGTAGTGTAGGGGGTGTTCAGTATGACTGCTTCTTACTGCCTAGATCTTTGTTACTCTACAAAATGGAGCAGGTTTTAGAATTTGGTTTCATTAATCAATCAGTAATTAGAAACAATTACAGTAACTACTTTTTATTACAACAAACATCTAGGTCCACTTCCCGATGTTTTTAAAGAGTGACGTGTTTTACAAATACTTGGCAGAGCTCATCAACTCTATCCATAACTCTAACAATATCTTGGGTTATTCCAGACGGAGACAAAGTGAATCAACAACTGATTTTTATTTTATTTATTTCTTCATCTATATAATCTAAAAAACGGCTCATAGTTTTCATTAAATGCGTGGTCAATAAAGTTTCTCATGAAAAAAATTTCAAAATCAAAATTTAGACGCAACCCCCCAAAAAAAAAAATCACCAACATCATCGCCGCCATCATCCAGACAGTAATGGATCACTCCACAGTTCAGAGACGACGACGAGCAACAACTCATCCATTACATCAAAGAACACATTACTAGCTGTGGATACTCTATCCAAACAGTATCCGAGCGTTAAGAAGGGTAGGAGGAAGTCAAAGGAAAAGATGAACATTGACGGCATCATTCTCGACCCTGACCACATCTGGCAGCGACCTTGCACGAGGCATGTAGCAGCGATGCTTCTTCAACTGATTGATTGGCCGAAAATCTTTTTGTTTATTTTTGTAATATCTACACTAACTCTTGCATGGAACCTGCTTAATTATTTAAACCCGTAAAATTGAAACGTGCATTTCTTTCCTACCCCTGCCAACAGCATGAAATTAGGTCACGTGAATGATCTTGGTGAGTTCATTCCCGAATTTGATCCCAATCCGGTTTCTGATAAAAAATCATGTTGGTTATTTTATTTTTGGATATTTCCTCTTCATCACTATTCATAGTTGTTCCTAATCATTCGGCTAGCTAGCGGTACAATTGTTAATTTCGGTAATTATTTTCAATTATCTATTTAATCTGTTTAGTCTCTGAATTTATTATCTGTAGGAAGTATACGTTAATAGATTGTATTCATTTCGAGATGTTAAACTGCAGGGCATATAAGACGTTATTATTATATAATATTACGGTTATTTCAACAAGTCTATAGATCTATTCAAACATTAATTCATAAATTAATCTGTAGTTCGTCGTCTGCAGTTTTAGCGCGAGGAGGCTACCAACACACTCCTTGCGCTCGTCAAATACTTTCTTTATGTTGTTAATTGATTTGTTTTTGTCTTCTCAGAGTTCAAATATCGCCATTAAGTCATAAATCAGTCTATCAATTAATTTAATAATCTATCCATTATTTCGAGTGTTTATCCATTGGTCCTACAATTCAAACCATTCATTAATTCTGCGGCGGTTAATCAATCCCTGCAACAATTCATCCATCTACTCATTCATCCAGTTATTAATTTAATAATTTTCCCATCAATTCACTCATTCATCCATCAATTCACTCATTCATCCATCAATTCACTCATTCATCCATCAATTCACTCATTCATCCATCAATTCACTCATTCATTCATCAATTCACTTATTCATCCATCAATTCACTCATTCATCCATCCATCAATTCGCACATCGCAATCAGTTTTCTCGCTGACGGCAAAGAGCAAGAGGTCACGTGAGGAAGAGGCGGCCCTCCTCATTGCCCAGCAGATAATTCAGGACGTCAACATCCTCACATGCACCAACAACAACACCACCGTCACCAACAACAACAGCAACATCAGTACTGACGATGACGATGATGATAATAATGAGTATGATAACAACGGTGATGGTGGTGGTGATAATAGTGGCGATGGTGAAACGAAATTTACCGCCGGTGATGATAGCGATGATCGATGCAATTAATTGTTTAATTAATTATTTAATTAATTAATTAAGTGATACAAGACAAATTCATTGAAACGGATTTTGCATTTAACAATGTGCCATGATTTTATAAACAGCAGCAGCTACTTTTAGGGTACCCACGGCCCGCAACAATCAATCTAATCTGTCAATCAAAACTTCATTCACAATACGGATTATTATTATTAATGGTTATTTATATTATTATTATTGTTTATATTATTTTTTCATAATTATTTTATAGGGGATACCCATTGCATATGTACGTACATTTGTGTTAATCAATTTTTATTTGTACGTTCAAGTAAATAATGTTTTTACTATTTATTTGATACACGAAACTATGTTTTAGCAAAATTTTAAACTTTTTTGTTATTTATGAATACTTTTGCTTCGTATTATGTGTATATGGGTATATGTGTATACACTTGTTTGTATGTATGTATGTATGTAAATATTGTATGTATGTATGTATGTATGTATGTATGTATGTATGTATGTTTATACCTTTATAGACTAATTGAATTTGTATAGCTGTTAAACACAGATGCTTTCTGCATATATCACTGGCCGGTTGAATTGTAATACCATTATTATTTTATATTTAATTTAATTCAGTTTACCAAGCAGTTTACTTGATTAGTCATAATAATATTGATTCAGTGTTAATAATAACTTCTTTTATAAGGTATGTATGCAGATGTTCATAGCCAAACATTATTAACGGTTATTATTGCCCTGCTAGGTTTAATTGTAACGTTCGTTGTAACATTTTTTTTGAAAATTGATTTTTCGTACTTTATAATGTTACTAAGATGCCCTCTTTATGTTATTATGACGATATAGTCTTATGATATTTTGTTCTAAGAGTGTGGAAAATATTGACGAAGTTCGTCACTAAGTTTTATAATTATTATTTGTAAATTATTTGTATAATAATGAAATTAGTATAACAGTTATTATGTGATTGCTAGTGTTAGCATTAGCATAGAAATATGACCAATTGACAGTTGCAAGTTGTTTAATTAATTAATTGGTAATTAATATTCGTTATCAACACTTTTCCGTCCATCTAGCGATGAAAATTATTTTTCTACTCGTCAAACCATAACATATTTCTCATTTTCAATCACTAAAATTACTGATATGTGATACGAAATTGTGTCTGTGTGTTATGTAATGTTGTTGGCAACAATTCCAGTTTTGTATAAAATAATTTATTCGTGGCTACAGCAAAAATAATTCGTTTTTATTTATTGTAAACTGTTTTTTTCTATGCAAGATATTTCTATATAGGTTTTGTTTTATTTTTTTAGTTTTATACTTTTTTAAAAATATAAAAAGACACAAATTTTAGTCATCTTCATTGTTTTTGGTGACTGCAGATTTGTTGTGACGTGATTCTTTGGAGTTTCAATTAAAAATTTAGGTGACTAGTTTTATTGGTTGTCAACATTAAATTTTTGGCTGTTGTTGTGTCTGTTTTTGCCATTCCTCTGGGGTGTATGTTTTTTGTGAGAATGCATGGATGGACTCCATCTCTTTGGCGATTGCAGCATTCACCATCCTGGATTTAAAAAATTTAAATTCAATAAAATAAAGTTATTATTTTTCAAACCAATCCAATTGAATGAAATGAAAACAGATGTTACCAAATGCATAAGTAAACTAAACAATGATTTTGGTTTCTCTAGCTGTAACTGAATAATATAATAATTACAACAGATAATCTAATTCTAAATGAGAAATTATTTTTAAGATTTTAAATTTTGTGATATTAATTTCAACAAACCTGTGTCTTTGCAGTAATGATTTGCCGGAAAAATCTTTGCAGACGATTATAGCGTTGAACTTGGCACCGCAACCATCTGAAACATCTTCAACGTCCTGATGTTAGTTAAAAATTAAATGTCAAAAGCATCTCTATGGAAAAACTTAGCTGGCAATATGAATAATTTTATTACTAAATTACAATTTTAAAAAATATTAATCGGAAATTTTCAAAATACAAGGCTGACTCACCACGTGTTCAGCACTCAACGATGACTCAATTTTATTTTTTACTTGATCAGCTGAGTAAGGCATCTTGAACCTAATCGGAAAATAATTATTTAACCGACTGAGCGAAATTATGATTTGCTGTACAAAGAAAGTAAAATTACTATTCCAGCTAACAAAAGTCAATTACTTTCTTTGGTAATACAGGTATTTAAAAGCCGTACACGCCCGAACCGTGTAAGAGAAAAATATTCGTAAAGTGAGGTTGATTTTGTTAAACTAATTCCACTAAATTCTAGAAGCCTGTTAATTTCTAATTATAATGGTTGGTTTAACAACTGGTTTAATTTCGAGATTGATTTGTTTTTACAACGTATGGTATTGTGTAGTAAAATAATAATAATCATACTGTTAAGTAACTTAAAAATTAAATTAATTAACTTAACTTAGGTTAATTTAATTTTTAAACCTTATATCTTAAATAATCTTACATCTTTTAAATTTTAAAATACCAGTGAATCAGCGGTATCAGTCATAAAAAATAAAAGAACAAATGTTTTTATGTTTTGTTATCATCTCATCAACATTATTTTGTAACTTCATTTTTTCATCATCATATGTAATGTATACAAAATTTAACAGCAAATTACTTTAAAAACTAATGAGCTTACTTACAACAAACATACACTTTAGTTTTTTTAGAGCAACAGTTTTACTTTGTTGATACAGAAACTTTATTACTTCTATTACAAAACCGTATTTCATTTTGTTTGTTAAAACAAATTTTAATTTTGACAAAATATTAAAACCAAAATTAATTAATTTCATTCAGGCAATTAGTTTTGATGAAGCTGATATTGAGGGTTATTTTTTTTCTTTGCAAATAAAAATTCAATGATATATTCAATAGTAACACTAATAATAATATTATTAATATTGATCTTTACTAGAGTTTAGAGACTGTTTTTCACTGTTTGCGAAAGAGAAGTTTATAACATCAAGAGAACAGCTGACAAAAATAATGAGATCTCTAGCTTTCAGTCCAACTATGTTTGAAGTAGATAGATATTTTGGAGAACATAGCAGAGGTGCTAGTATCTTCTAAATCAGTATTGTATTTGTATAATTTTGGCTTTTTAAATTAAATAACAGGAACAGTAAAAGTTCTATTTAATCAACCTATTTTTAAATAACATTCACCCCGCAAAAAATCACACACAGACAACAGAATTGACTTTGCCACTTTCATTTCTATTCTGGAAAAACAGTTAAAAGTTGAAAAATGTCAGAAAGATATCATTGAAGCATTTCAGGCTCATGATAAAGATGGAACAGGTTCTTTTTCTTTGTTCACATTTCTTCAATTAGTATTAGCATCTAAAATAAATTTTCAAATGGAATAAAAAATTGTGTAACTTGTGAAAAATTCGTCACAACAAAATATTGATAATATTATTAATATGATGACACTCAAAGGTTTTGTGCCAGCTTCTGAGCTTAGACATATATTAACCCAGTTTGGTGACAAGTTGACACCTCAAGAAGGTGTGTGTTTAATACGTAACGAATTTGTTCCACTTGTCTGTTGAAAGTGAATTAATGATTTGTTATTATTTTGAAAATTCTAGTTTAAAGTGTTTACATCTGTATTTAATTTAATAATGATAAATTTTTATAATTTCAGTGGACAAGTTGTTCAGAGATGCAGGTGTGCAAGGAGCCCAAGTCAAATATGAAAACGTTATCAACTGCCTGCTAACGCCAATTCAAGAATGATTTTCAAAAAAATCTGTTTATTTAAACGTTCATAACCAATCATTTTTATTTATTTGTTGCAACAAAAATTTAATAAAATATGTAATGAAAATTGTACAAGGATCTGCTAAAGACATTTAACTGTGACTTCAAATTTTTAAAGTTAGTTCATCTCAGAATTTAAAAATGGAAAGATTATATAAATCTTGAAAAAGTTTCAAACAATCAGGATATTTTCCAGACAAGAATGCCAATATTACCACCAAAGAACATGAAAAGAATGTTTCTCTTGTGAAAGGTCACTTCAAAACCAAATCCTTCACCAACACAGACATTCCATGGCATTCCAAACTTTTTGTCCATCAGATCTTTTATCATCTTGGCTGCTTGCTTTGAGAATTTTTGTTAAAATAATACAAAATAAAATATAATATTAAATTTTTTTTGATGGTTGAAAAAGCCGTTTAACGTTAACGATGAGCTCACTTCATTGTTGTTGCTGAATTTCTCACATGCTGTGACACATAGCTCCATGGCTTCAATCTTCATCTCCTCATGCATATCTGAGTACTGTTTTGAGTTATTACTTATTGTTTTGAATTTGCTTAAAAAACGTATAAATGAACATAATTAAAAAAATAAAGTTCAATAATAGTTACAATACAAAATTACAAATCAGTTTGGAGGAGCACTGTAATAATAGTTTGTAACATTAAAAATAAATAATGTAGTAATTGAGTAATAATCACTTTAAATAACGTACTTGTATAAGTGGATAAGTGTGCTTTTTACCTTCTTCTTTTTTGTCCACATTTTCATCTGCCATTCCAGATTTATTTAAAAACCACAGAATTATTATTTAAAAAATTTTATAACAAATAGAGCAGAGTTGCATTGGTTGCCATGGTGACAACTTTTCAAGCAACTTTGTCCTGATGTCTTTTCTAACGACTAATCTAACGATGAATTTTCTACCAGCAGAACATCAATATACTTATTCTAATTATATGTATCAGACTATAAGTATGCCAAATGCCACCATATAATGAAAATATTTAACAAAAAACTCATTTGGTTTTCAAGCATTAATCTACCCATAAATATAAAATATATACACGAATCTGCCGTTCATTAAATTGATGCTTTCAAAGCCCGGAAGCTCAAATTTATATAGCAACCAGGCCAGCTCTGGTTTCAATCCATCTACTTTTATCCTACACAATGTCTTTCGCGGTCTAAATGCAAATAATGAATTATATAAGAACAGTTTATTAATTAATTTGTATGCATGTTAATTTTTAAGTAAACTGACATTATCCTAATAAATAAAAATATGGCTGAAGATGAATGTTTCAAGCAGCGATTATCGCACGTGTACTCAAACGAAAGCGAACGTTTTCAATTGAAAGATCGTAATTACAGTCGTCAGTATGCACACATCTATGCCTCCAGATTGGAGCACAACAAATCATATTTAGAAGAGAAATGCAGGCGAACATGGGGTTGTGATATACCTTTAAAAAAAATTTCCGAATTAGTGGCAGATGAAAAGTGCGCCATCATTGGAACTCTTTTCAAGCAAATGATTTACAAGCCAAATATTTTGAAAGAAATAAGCGAAGAAAACCAATTAGAACCTCAACCAATTCGGGTGTGTTGCTCAAATTCCTGCTAAACAGCTTATGATTATTTTAATTGATAAATTGTTTCAAACTTGCCACGCTTGTCCACTAATTTATGAGTCTATTACACATTTTATTGATTCATTTGATTTGGTATATTAATATTATAGATTTTACATTATATAGTATTTTATTTTATTTCACCAAACCTCAATAGTAAAAAAAAATAATTCAATTCATCTTAGGAGAAATATACTGACTCATCAGATGTGTTGATCCTGGAAGATGATCTGCAAAGAATTTTGTTGGTGGGAAATGTGGAGAGCATGAAAGCCATTACTGGAGTCACAGCAGCCATCCTCGGTTGCCAGGATTCCAACTCGGGCAAGTTTCAAGTTGAAGATATCATCTACAAAGATTTGAATCCAAACATCAGGAGTGAACTTAACTGTAATAAAGAAAGTTATGTTGTTTTGTTATCTGGCTTGGAAATTGGAGGTGATGATAAAGATGCTGCTGAATTGTTGATGAGTGTACAGTTACTAATTGATCTGCTCAATGGATCGATTGGGGATGAAGACATAGAGAACAAGATGTCAAAGGTTCTGAGGGTAATAATAGCTGGAAACTCTCTGAGTTCAAAAATCATTGAAAAGGATATTATTTCACATGGAAAACACAAAAAGCGACATAACCGACAGAATGATAATGAAGAAGAGAAGGAAAGTCGAGATGCTATTGATAAATTGGACAACTTTCTGTTTCAGTTATCCATTAATGCATATGTTGACCTCATGCCTGGCCCCACTGACCCCACCACGTTCACACTACCTCAAAAACCAATTCATCGCTGTTTATTACCAAAGTCAGGAGCTTTATCAACTCTGAATCCAGTTTCAAATCCTTATGAATGCAAAATTGAAGGTTACAATTTCCTTGGTACATCTGGTCAGCCAGTAAAAGATGTTGTGAGAATAACAGAGTATGAAGACGAGTTGGAGGTACTGGAAGGGATGTTAAAATTTGGGCATTTAGCCCCAACAGCTCCCGACACTCTTGGCTGCTACCCATTCGAAGAGGCAGACCCTTTCATCATAGATGTTTGTCCTGATGTTTTTTTTGCAGGAAATTGTAAGAAATTTGATTGGAAAAAATATGAAAATGTAAGTGAAAAACATACTCTACTCATCACCATCCCCAGTTTTAAAGTTACTAAAACTGCTGTGCTCCTTAACCTTTATGATCTGACGTGTTCACCTATCTCTCTGCCATGAAATTTTAATAAACTCATTTTTTTGTATCTTTTTTAAAACAAATGGTTATAACTTGTTCAATGTTTTTAATTACAACGACAAAATCATGCATTCGTTTTAAGAGAAAATCTATTAACAAGAAATTAAATAAAACAAGCAACAAAAATTTCATAAAATTAAATCAATTGTATCTTTTCCATCCGCCACTAAAGTTTCTTCCTCCTTCACCTCCTCCTCTGTCCATCCTATATCCTCCTCTGCCTCTACCAGCTCCACTTCCAAATCGTCCCCACCCTCTTCCATGGCTACCCCGGTTTCCATAGTCTGGTGCTTGTTCAAGTTCTGGCAGTGTTTCAGTCCTTTTTAGGGTATCATGCTTTCCATCAACCCATAAGGATTCCAGTTGACTAGCCTTGTCAGCGGCTATGTCGAATGCCACACCCTGTTAGGTAGAAAGAAACATCTGCATTAAGTATTAATTCCACTAGTTATAAAGCTTTATAATACTCTTAAACTATTACCGATATTATTAATGATTTTTGTTGTAAATTAAAGATGAAGCAACGATGAATTAATCCGAACTGACCATCCTATCCTTACAGAACCTCATGCCATTTATGGCTTCTTTCATATCTTGATTGATGCACTTTCCCAGAGCATTCCACACATATGACATGTAGCGTATCTCTTCGCCACTCGTTCGGTACAAAAATGTTACCATTCCCTGATTTGTGAGGGTTCATGTAAGTTGAATGACGTGATTTATATATAAAGCGATGAACATGATTATATATAAATCAGGTTTCCTGTATACAAATTACTGTTATGTCGATAAAACAATGTAAAAAATGTAGTACATAGACAAATATTACCAATAAAATATGTAATGTGAAAGAGTTTGTAGCAAGAAGTAATGTTAACCTCTCTGGATGAGAGCAGTGACCTCTGCTTGATCTCCTGATTGCCTGATATGATGGCCAGTGCCTCAGATAGGCTGGTCACAGCCCCCCTCTCGTCGATCAACCTCTGTGCCAGGTCTGCAAACTGGTTAGATGCCTCCTTTGAAACTGACGCCATCACTCTGCATGGGAACCACAATGCCATAATGTTAACAATTATGATAATGTTGGCAAATTTAAAGCCAAAAAATCGAATTTAAAAAGTTTTAAGTGTTGAGATCGTCGATTTCTAAAGCAATACGGAAATTGTGAATGTAGGTTTAAATATTTTTCACAGAGATTGAAATGAAGGCAGAGGATATCATAGAAAGGAATATAGAACCTTGCCGCATCTTCGGCTGCAGCTCTCATGATGTCGGCTGGCGTCGGTGGTCCCACTATCTTCAACTTTATGTTCTGTTTCACAGTCATTGATGCGTTGATCATTTTTAAAACATTCAGTGCGTTAATAATTTTATCTTTGCTATCAAATTATGTGACAGTGAGATAACAAAAATAATTTGTAATGCTGTAACAGGACAAAAATTTCGACTGACTAGCGCTAAAACATTAAAGTATTAACTCTTTCACGTTTTAAAATCACAAATTTTAGAATGAAATATTGATATAGGTTTCCAATTATGAAATAAGTTTATAAAAAGTTTTTAAAGTGAAGTGAAAAGGTTACTAACGGCTCTCTGTTCGACCATTCTCAACTCTCTTTCCTCTTCTCTTTTGAAGAACAGCACGCATGTCCCTTGTCTACCTGCTCTACCCGTACGACCCGACCTGTGTATGTAAGACTCGACATCCTAGGCATCAGGTGAATGTTAGGTGTTATCGGTGTCAAAAACAAATGATTCATTCGCAAATGAAAAAAAGTAGAAAGTGTGTTGAATGGTTCTACAAAATCTTTAAAGCTAATTAATAAAATTGTACCTTTGGCGGTGAACATTGAATGACGAGATCAACTTCGGGAATGTCAAGGCCACGAGCAGCCACGTCAGTTGCTATCAAGCACCTGTACTTCCCATCACGGAAACACTGAAAATAAAATTATGATTTCTGTAAAATGTTAGCCAGATAAGTTGAGCTTTCATGTTTCAATCTTTATAAATAAATCTTTTATAAATCTTCCTATTATAACTAAAACAAAAAACAAACACACGTTTAGACGGCATTTTCCCCGAGATCGGGGGTTGCCGCTTGGCTACCTATGATGAAACCGAAATACCCCTCGACTCCATCCACATCTGTCACTCGCCTCAGTATCACGCAACCCCGCTTTCACCCTGTCCTTCTCCACCTGCTCTCTCCATCCCAATCGCGGACGACCCCTTCCTACCACTCCTTCAACCTCGAACTCCAACGCTCGCCTAATCCCGACCCTTTCATCCCTTCTCAACACATGTCCATACCACCGCAATCTCGATCTCCTTATCAATGTCACAATGTCCTCATTCAGTCCCATCATTGACATCAGCTCTGTACTACTCCTCCTATCCTTCACTTTAACCCCACACATCATCCTCACCATAGCTCTTTCAGCCCTCTGCAGTACACTTTCCTCCTCTCTCCTCAACACCCAAGTTTCACCACCATATATCATCGCTGCTCTCACACATGCTTTATATACCCTCCCTTTCATCTTCACTGACCATTTCTTTCCACACAATACCCCACCCAGTTCCCTAAATTTCATCCATCCCACACGAACTCTAGCCGTAACTGCGCTCAA